CGCGGCGCGGACTCTCGACCGGCGCCGGGGCCGGCCCGACGGCGACGTGTTGGACGAGGCCGGCGCCGTCGCCGCGGCGCTCGCGGCGCTCCACCCCGCGCGGCTCGCGCCGGCGACGCGGACCGTGGCCCTCGCGGGCGCCGTCGACGTGCTCCGCAAGCTCGACGGCGACGGCGCGGTCTACAACCACGCGCGGTGCCAGACGCTCCGCGCGCGCGCGGCGGACGCGGCGTGCGCGCTCGTCGAAGTCCGGGAGACCCGCGACGCCGCGGCGGCCTTCGGCGCCGAGGTCCACCGCCACCTCGCGGCGCGCCGGTGCTGCGACGGCGACCAGGCCGTCTTCCTCCGGGGCCGCGTCGCCTGGCTCGCGCGGTCCGCGTCGAAGGCGCCGCGCGGCGGCCGCCGGCCCGTGGACACCAGGGACACGGAGCTCTTCGCGGCCCAGTGCTGGTACGACTTCGTGGGCTGCCGCGTGCTCCGCGACGTGGCCAACTCGCGCGTCGACGACAAGCTCCGGGCCAAGCGGCTCCGGCTTTTAGGGCCGAGCGAGCGCCACGCGTTCGTGCGCCACGTCGCGCCCCTCGTCCTCCGGGACAAGTGCGGCGACGAGGCGCCCCTGCCCCTCGCGCCGCGCCGCGACGTCCTCGACGCCCTCGAGGCCGTCGCGCGCGCGTCCCAGGCGCTGGAAGAGAACCGGTCGGGCGACGACGACGACGTCGAGGCGTACCTCTTCGCGCCGACGGACGAGCCGCGGACGTTCCCCGCGTACCTGCTGGGCACGGCGGCGTCCGCGAACGGCGACGGGGCGTGTCACGCCGCGCCCGAGGACCCGGCCGACGCCGGCGAGCGGCTCCTGGCGGAGATGATGGTGCTGAAGCTCACGCAGCGGGACAAGGAGGCCGCGCAGGAGACGAAGACGCCCGCGGCGCTCGAGCTCTCGCGCCTCGAGGCGCTGCGCTGGCACCTGCGGTGCTGCGCCCTCGAGCCGCGGCGCGCGGCTCACTGGGCCGCCGCGGCCCGCACGCTCGAGGACCTCGCGGCGCCGCTGCTGTCGCTCGGGCGCCTCGCGGCGCCCGCGGGCGTCGGCCTCCGGCGCTGCGCCTGCCTGTCGACGCGGTCGCTCGTCGCCAAGCCCTTCGGCAACGACGCGGCACTGGTCGCCACGGCGCGCGAGATGCCCCGGGGGCCCTGGTACCGCTTCCCGGAGCTCGGCCAGGACTGGATCGACGCCATGGCCGAGGCCAAGGCCGAGGCGCGCCGCGAGGCCGCGAAGCGCTGCTGGGTCGTCGCCCACGGCCTCGCCAACGGCAGCCGGGGCGCCTACGCCGCCGCCGTCGGCTGCCTCTGCTACGAGGACGCGCGCGACGCGTCGAAGCTCGGCAACGTGACGACGGCGTTCCGCCATTCCACGGACGCGAAGACGGCCTTCGAGGCCGCGGCGTCGCTGGGCGCGCCGGCGACGCGCGCCTTCGCGCTCATGATGGCGGGCAAGCTCGCCTGGCGCGACGCCGCGCGGCCCTTCGACGACCGCGCGTCCGCCGCGATCGCGTCCTTCGCCGCGGCCGTCGACGCGTCGCCCGCGGCGATCGCGAAGCACTGCGGCCGCGAGGACCCGGACGTCGTCTGGCGCCTCCACGCGACGCGATTGAAGGTCGCGGCGCTCGCCGACGCGGGCCGCGCGAGCCCGACGGCGCTCGCGGCGGCCGCGGCGACGCGCTTCGCGCCGCCGTCGTCGAACGAGGACTCGGGCGCGCTGCTGAGCGTCGTCGACGACTGCCTCGCGGCCTTCAAGGCCTGCCGCAAGGACGACCCCTACCACGCGCGGGCCATCCACTACCACGGCCGCGCGTTGCTCCTCGCCGCGAAGCTGAGCTCCGCGGGCGAGCCGCCGTCGGCCGCGCGCGACGCGTTCGTCGAGGCGGCCGTCGGCGACGCGCGCGCGGCGCTCGACGCCCTGTGCGACCGGAAGCGGCCCCAGGTCGTCGCCCTCTGGCGCGTCGAGGGCGTCTCCGGCTGCCAGGCGGGCCTGGACGCGAACCACCGCAAGTACGACCGGTCGCGGTTCAAGCACCTCGCGCTCTACGTCGCCGTCCTCGCGGACCTGAGGGACCACGACCGCCTCCGGGGCGTCGCGGGCTGGATCGCCTCGTCCAAGGAGCGGTCGCGCACGACGCGGGCCATGCTCCACACCGTGTGGAACGCGCAGCTGCGCGCGCTCCAGACGGACCTCAACGCGCCGCGGCCGCCGGCGCCCGCGCCGCGCCGCCCGCGCCGCCCGCGCCGCCCGCGCCGCCGCCGGCCGCCGACGCCGCGATGGCGGACGCGCCGCCGCCGGCCGCCGACGCCGCGATGGCGGACGCGCCGCCGCCGGACGCCGCGGATGCCGCCGCGGACGCCGCGGACGCCGTGCCGCCGCCGCCGCCGGTCGCGGCCGGGCCGCCGCCGGCGCTCGAGGCCGCGCTCGGCCTCTTCGTCGACAGCGCCGCCCAGGTCTACAAGGACTGCGGCCCCGACGCCGACGCGCTCCGCGTCGCCACGGAGGCCGCGCTCGTCCGCGCGGCGGCGGCCGCGCTGCCCGACGAGTTCGCGCGCGCGCCGCAGCCCGTCACGGCCGCCGCGGCGCGCGCGCTCGTCGCCGCGCGCTGGGACTCGCTCCGAAGACCCGCAAAAAGGCGCAAGTCTAACGAGTAAGAAAGGTTAGTGTGCGGGAGGCGTGCCGCTGCCAGTAGCAGCGGCGGCCTCCGGCGGCGCTGGCGCCGCCGCGGCGTCCCCGGCGGCGGCGGCCGCGGCCCGCGCGCGTCGTGGACGATAGACTTGCTGGTCCGGTCGACGTCGGCGCTCCGTCTTGGCCCGGTCCTGGCGCGCGCGCGCGTCGAGCGCGGGGTACTCGGCCGCGTTTTGCTTCGCGCCGTTCGCGGCGGCGGCGAAGAGTTTCGAAGGCGCGAGCTGGCTCCGCGGCCGCGACGACGAGGGCTTCGAGCACCAGTCGAGGTGCCTGTCGTAGCTCACCTCGTCTAGAGATAAAGCTTTGAGGTGTGCCGAGGCGTCATCGGGAGCCTCTTCGCTGGGCGGCGTCGGCGCCGGCTTCGCGCCGCGAAACACGCCCTTTTTGGCGTCGAATTCATACGCGCGTCCGCTCAACTCGGCGCGCCGGCCGTCGTGAGATGTGTCTCCGCCGTTTTTGTGTTGATGCGGCTCCCAGCAGGCCATGGGCAGCAAGGCAGCCCCTGATTAACCATGCATCAAAGACGATTCAAGAAACCGAGATTCGGCGAACGTGCATCTGGGGCTGCCTTGTCTGCAGCATGTCCGCGCGGGCCGCGAAGCGAGTCCACGGACTGCGAGTGAGCCCCCGCGCGCCTGGCCCCTCGGAGCTAGATGCCAGCCCGGCCGCCCGTGGCGGTCGCGGCTAGGCTTGGAGTCCCAGTGCCGCGAGGCCTGGTGCCGCAAACCCCCCGGGTAGGCCCTCTAGCTGTTAACCTCTCCTAGCCTAGCAGCAGTGCGGCGCGCGCCGAAAGCCGCAGGGTTGTGTTTTTTAGCCCCCCCCCGGGGCCTTGGGGGGGTTTTATGGGCCCTCAGCGACCCCCCCACCCCCCGTCCCGGCGACTCCCGGCGGCCCGGACGCGTACTGGGGCGCTGTTTTCAGGAGGTTGTCGCGCCCGAGCCGAGCAGAAGTCGACCCCCCCCACCCCCGTCAAAACCCCCCCAAGGCCCCCCCCGGTGGCAAAAAAACACAACCCAGCGCGCGACGAGGCGCACCATGCGCACCGCCCTGCGCCGCCTTGCCGTCCTCGCCGCGCTGGCCCGCGGCGAGCGGCGCGGCTTCATCACGATGACCGTGCAGCGCACGGGCAGCACGTGGCTCAGCGACGAGCTCGACGCGCATCCCTGCATCACGTCGGGCAAGGAGATCTTCCTCAACGAGAAGACGGGCGACCCGCCCTGGGTCTGGAGCGACGCGAAGAAACGTCTGGCGCTCGAGGCGCTCTTCGACGGAAAAGCGTCGCTCAACTTCAGCGCGACGCGAAGCTTCGAGAAGTTCCTGGGCCGCTGCGCCGGCGCGCGCGGCGACGTCGCCTGCGGTTTCAAGTGGATGATGAGCCAGCACGTCGACCGCGCCTGGGACGCGGGCTGGCTCCCGGAGCTCTGCGCGGCGCGAAAGCTCCGCGTGGTCTTCCTCGAAAGGCTGAACCTGCTCCGCGTCCACGCGTCGACCGTGGCCAAGAACCTGGCGTCGACGAGCGCCGGCGGCCACCGGAACCCGACGGGCGAGGCGCCCAGGGAGGCCTACATCGAACTGGCGTCGGGCGACGCGCTCGTCGCGAAGCTCGAGGGCATCGCGGCGCAGTACGACGGCCTGCGGCGCGTGCGCGCCGAGGCGGCGAGGCGCGGCGTCGCGACGCTCGCCGTGACCTACGAGGCGCTCCAGGCCGACCGCGGCGGCGGCCTCGACCGCGTCGCGCGCTTCGTCGCCGGCGGCGGCGCCTGCGACGTCGGCGCGTACGCGTTCGCCGGCAACGCGTCGCGGCAGACGCAGATCCACGCGGGGAAGCTCTCGTCCTACGTGTCCAACTGGGCCGCGGTCGTCGACACGCTCCGACCGACGCGCTTCGCGTGCTACCTCGACGAGGACGACCTCGCCCGCCTCGAGGCGTGCCGCGACGCCGGCCGCGCCCGCGAGCCGTCCCGCGCGGAGGACGTCGGCCGCAGGGCGCGGAAGACCGTGGTGGCCGTCTGCGTCCTCCTGCTCCTCGTCCTCGGCCTCGAAAGGCGGGGCGAGCAGAGGCAGGTGCGCGATAATTCGTGACGCTGGTTATTGAAGCGCGCTACTTAGCGCGCTCCCTTTGGTTGAGGCCGTAAGTTGACTCGGTCGACCCGGGGCTGCGATGGCTGGGTAGCTGGGTGTTGAAACGCCTTCATCATGCGCTGGGCCCTGTGGTGCGTGGCGCTCCTGCGCGTCGGCGAGGGCTTCCGCGCGTCGCGGCGCATCATCGCGGACGACGACGACGACGACTACGACGCGGTCGGGGCGGGCTCCGCCAACCTCATCGAGCGCGCCATCGTCGAGCTCGAGGCGGAGTATGGCCGAACCTTCGACGCACGCGAGAAGGCCGGGTTGCGTCGCTTGGGGGATGACTACGTCGCGGAGTCTGGCGAGGCGAATGGGAGAGGGGATATGATGGTCGAGTACCTCGGCGGCACGTTCCGCGTCGGTCCGCACATCTTTGACGCGGCCGTCAAGGCCAAGCCTAGGGCGGCGAGCGGCGGGGCCAAGAAGCAGGACGGCCGCGGCGAGCGCTCCCGCGTGTCGCGGCGCGTCATCGCGGACGACGACGACGACGACGACGAGACGAACGTTTGGGAGGCCGAGATCGAAAGCGCGGTCGAGTTCTTCAGATCGGTCCGCGGCGCCGTCGTCGACGAGCGCGAAGCCGCGGTGCTGCGTCACGGGGCGGAGGAATACCTAAAGGATGGCGGCGACGCGGAGTTCTTGACCGACTACCTCGCCAGCGCGTTCTACGTCGGGCGGGACGACGCGGACGTCGAGGAGGACCGCATCTCCCGCACCATCGCGAACCTCAAGGCCAAGGCGGAGAGCGGAGTCGCCGAGAACCAGGACGTGGCAGGGCTGCGCCGCGTGGCGAGCGACCTGGAGAAGAACCAGGAGGCGCGCCGCCTGGCGACGGCCTTCGGCGCCGGGGGAGATCATTCGGAGCGCGCGACCGCCAAGCTGTTCAAGGGGCTGAAAGCGGTCTACGGCGTGGAGCGCGCGGACCGCGACGCCTACCCGCCGGTCCTGCTCGAGCTGCTCGCCAGCCTCAGAGCGATCGGCCTCCACGACCCCGACGACGCCGCCGCCGATCCCGACGACGACGACGACGACGACGAGGCGAGCTACTGCGGCGCCTACGACGACGACGACGACGACTACGTGACGCTCGAGGACCTCGAGGAGTTCGACGGCTTCCTCGAGGCCATCGCGTCGCTGAGCGGCCCCGCGGACCCGCCGGCGGTCGACGCGGCGATCCTCGCGGGCATCGAGCGGGCGACGAGCCTCGGCTGGGACGTCGACACGCTCACCGTCGGCGGCGACGGCGTGCTCCACGTCGCCGCGGAGCACGGCCGCGCGGACCTCGCGCGCGCGCTCGTCGGCGACTGGGGCGCGTCCGTCGATCTCGGCAACGCGGCCGAGCGCACGGCGCTCCACGTCGCGGCGGAGGGGAACTTCGTGCCCGTCATGCTCGCGTTGGTCGCCGGCGGCGCCGACGTCGACGCCCTGGACGACGAGGGGTCGGCGCCCGCGCACGTCGCGGCCGCGGCGGACCGGGTCGACGCGCTCGAGGCGCTCTGGCGCTGGAACGCGAACTTCGGCCTGCGCAACGGCGACGGCGGCTGGCCCGCCGCCGTCGCCGCCGCCGCCGGGAGCCTCGCGGCGCTCGAGTTCCTCGCGGACCGGGGCCTGCTCTACGACGCGGACCGCGAACCCCCGCTCCTCGTCGTCGCCGCGGGCGCGAACCAGAGCGGCGCCGTCGCGGCGCTCCTGCTCTGGGGGGCCGCGGACCTCGACGACGCCATCGCCTACGCGGCCAGGGCCGAGGACCGCGCGCGGGCCCGCGGGCCCGACGGCGACCGGCGCCGGTTCGCCGCCGCGCGCGGCCTCCTCGAGGAGACGCGGCGCGCGCAGCTCACGCTCATGGTCGAGGGCGTCGCCTTCGAGCTGTCCTGGGTCGCCATCGTCGCGGGCCTCGTCTTCTTCCGCGGCGAGCAGCTGCTGGCCTTCTCGCGGCGCGGCATCCTCGTCGGCGCGGGCCTCGTCGGCGTCGGCGGCCTGCCGCTCCTCGCGCTCTTCCTCCTGGCCTGGGCCGTCGTCTTCCAGGGCACGCGCTGGGCCATCCGCCGCGTCCGCGCGGGCTTCGACACCGCGGCCGCCGCGGACGCGGCCGCGCGCGAGCTCGCGAGCGAGATGGACGCGCCGCCGCCCGACGCGCTCAGGCTCGCCGACGCGTCGGCCCGGTCGGCCCGGGCCGAGGCCGAGGCCGCGGCGCGCGAGTGCGCGGAGATCCAGGCGAGCAGGACGGCGACGCACAAGGAGAAGTGGCAGGCGAAGAAGCGCGCGCGCAAGTGCGCGGTGGCCAAGGAGGAGGCGGCGAAGCGGCAGGCGAACCAGGAACGCGCGGAGGCCCTGGCGCGCGTGGAGGCCCGGAAAGCCGAGGCGGAGCGGCTCGAAGCGCTGCGCAAGAAGGCCTCGGCGGAGGCGCGCGCGCGAGACGAGGCCAAGGCTCGGGCGACGGACGCGATGGAGGCTCGCGCGCGAGAGGAGGCGCGGGCCGAGGCGCGGGCCATCGTTCGAGCGCGCGAGGCGGAGGCTGAGAGGCTCGAAGCAGCGCGCATACTTGCGCGGGCTGAGATCCTAGCGCGAGAAGAGGCGGAGGCGCGACAGAAAGCCGTGGAGGCTCGAGCGCGAGAAGAGGCCGAGGCGCGCGCCAGGGCCGAGGCGGAGCGCGCGCGGGCTGTCTTGGCCGCCCAGAAAGCGGAAGCGGAGAGGCTCGAAGCGGCGCGCAAGCAGGCCGCGGCGGAGGAACGCGCGCGACGAGAGGCGGAGGCTCGGGCGCGAGCGGCGGCCCGGAAAGCCGAGGCCGAGAGGCTCGAGGCGCAGAAGGCCGCGGCGGAGAAGGCCGAGCGCAAGAAGGCCGCGGCCGAGCGCAAGAAGGCCGAGGCCGAGCGCAAGAAGGCCGAGGCCGAGCGCAAGGCCGCCGCCCGGGCCGAGGCCGAGGCGCGGCGGAAGGCCGAGGCCGAGGCGCGGGCCGCGTTCGAGCGAGAAGCGGAGCTCCTCGGCGCCGAGGAGGAGAAGCACGCGGGCGACGACTACGACGACGCCAGGGTCGTCGAGACCCTCGCGGGCCTCGGCCTCGCGAGCTACCTTCCGCTGTTCCGGGAGCAGGAGATCGACGACGGCGCGCTCCTCGGCCTCGAGGCCGACGACCTCAGCGACATGGGCGTCGCCCCCGCCGCGGCGCTGCGCATCCTCTCGGCGATCAACGCCCTGCGCATGGCCGCGTCGAAGCTCGCCGTCAACGAGGTCATGGACGACTCCGCGCGGCACCAGGCCGTCCTCGAGGCCGAGCTCAAGGACCACCGCGCGCGCATCGCCAAGCTCCAGCTCGCGGACGTGCCCGAGGACCTGCTGTGCTGCATCTCCTGCGAGATCATGAAGGACCCGGTGAGCGCCGACGACGGGAACACGTACGAGCGCGTGTGCATCGAGCAGTGGTTCGCGACGGGCAAGCGGACGTCGCCGAGGACGAACGAGCCGCTGGAGTCGCTGAAGCTGCGGCCGAACCACGCGATCCGCCGGCTGACGGCGACCTACCTCGAGAGCCGGGGGCGGGCCATTTGATGGTAACGGGAAGCGTGTTGTGAGGCGGGGTTGAGATGTGTCCGGCCACGGCAGGCTCACGGCAGATTTTTTGACACAGCGGGTCTCCGGCCGCGGCGAATTTGCCTCAAGAGCGTCGGCGCGCCCAACCTCGGGGATGGGGCGCATGACGCGGTGCGGCCTCGCGGCCCTCACGTGCCTTGCCCTGATTGCCAGCGCTGTCGGCGCACGCCCTAGAGGTTCGAAACAGCTTCCGATCGAGGTCCGAGTTATAGAGGGCGTGTCGAAGACAGACGATCTCATCGTAGCTATCACGACGGGGCGAGATGAGAAACATCTGGCGACGCTCATGGCGGGCGTCGACGTGACAAAGCCAAACGAGCAAGGAGTTACACCGTTGGTGGCCGCGGTGCAGCTCGGCCGGTCCGACGCGGTCAAGCTGCTGCTCGACGCCGGAGCCGTCGAGACGGACTCGGCCGAGCTATTCTATGGGCAGACAGCAGTATTCACAGCTGCCGCATGGGGGCATCTCGGCATCGTCCGCCTGTTAACCGAGCACGGCCACGATGTCGAGCGCGAGAACGTGAACGGGGCATCCGCCGCGATGGCCGCCGCCGAACGTGGTCACGCGGGGGTTCTAGGGTTCCTGATCGGCGCCGGTGCTGATTTTCAAAAGGCCGACAACGCAGGGGTCACGCCATTGTACCGCGCAAAGAAAAACGGCCACAAGGACGTCGTTGCGCTCTTGCTGGACGCCGGCGCGGAAGAGCTGCATGCCGACTTGCCAAAGCGGGCGTGGGAAGCTGAGCCCCAGCCTACCGGGCGCACGAAGACGTGCAAGAAGGCCAAGAGCAAGCAGGAGTGCAAGAAGGTCAAGAGCGGGGGCGAGAAGGCCTGCAAGTGGAAGAACGACAAGTGCAAGGCCAAGGGCGGCGACACCGGCGGGTCGTGCGAGGACAACACGAGCAAGGGCTCGTGCAAAAAGGACGCGCTCGGCTGCAAGTGGAAGAACGACAAGTGCCGCGGGCGGATCAGATGGACGCATTGGACAATTGGCGAAGAGATCCTCCACAGGGTGCTTTCGCTTGCGTTTTGGGTGATTACTGCGGTCTGCCTTGCTGGTTTTATCCCTCTGACGCATGGACTTTATTGTCGAGGAGATCTTACCGCGACCTTCCTGGTGGTCGAGGCGGCTTACGAATTACTCTTTGTGGCCGACGCCAACGCCGTCTTGATGTGTGCAATGGGCTACGAGAGCGTGATGATGATGTTGCGATCATGCCCGGATCATCAGTATAGCAACGCGAGCTGCATCGGTCGCTTCTTCAATGTCGTCGAGAGTCAGCTAGTGCTTCAATCGATGCTGGGGGAGATCAGGTATTTGCAGTGGTTCGGGATCTTCCTCGCGATTTACTTATGGGAGAAGTCGCTTCCTCTGGGAATCAAGATATGCCAGGTGCTGGCTGGTTTGGGCCTGTTATTGGATGACAAACTGACTCTCGACTTCGCCACATATCTCCTGATTGTTTTCATTATATTTCCTCGAGCGGCGCACGCTTTCATTGGGTGCCTTTGCAGAAGAGAGGCGCAGACCGGGCTGGCGGCCGAGGCCGAGCAGACGCGAGCGGAAGCTGCGGCGGCTCTCATAAACGCCGCGAAGCAAGACGAGGCGCGGGCGCTAGAGAAGGCCGGCAGGAAGGCCAAGGCCAAGGCCAAGGCACGTGCGCGCCAGGCGGAGCTGGCTGCGAAGGTCCAGCGAACGCGCGAGGCGGCACGAGCGCGCGAGGCGGAGCTCGCCGCCGAGGCGAAGGCCCGGGAGGCGGCGGCGGCGCGCGAGGCGGAGCTCGCTGCGAAACAGGCCCGGGAGGAGGCGCGGGGGCTCGAAGCGGCGCGAGCGCGCGAGCTATCCGTGAAGGCTGCAGCAGAGACCAAGGCCCGGGAGCAGGCGCGGGCGCGCGAGGCGGCGGCGGCGCGCGAGAAGGCGAAGGCGGAGGCGCGGGCGCGCGAGGCGAAGCTCGCCGCGGAAAAGGCCGAGGAGGAGGCGCGCGCGCGCGAGGCGGCGCGGGCGCGCGAGGCGGAGCTGGCCGCCGAGGCGAAGGTGCGCGAGGCGGCGCGGGCGCGCGAGGCGGAGCTAGCCGCCGAGGCGAAGGCGCGCGACGCGGCGCGGGCGCGCGACGCGGAGCTGGCCGCCGAGGCGAAGGCCCGGGAGGCGGCGGCCGCGCGCGAGGCCGCGGCGAACGCGCCGACGCGGGTCGAGCCGGAGGCCTGCGGCGCCGAGGAGGCGAAGCACGCGGACGACGACTACGACGACGCCAGGGTCGTCGAGATCCTCGCGGGCTCGGGCAACGCGAGCCTCGTGCCCCTGTTCCGCGAACACGAGGTCGACGACGGCGCGCTCCTCGGCCTCGAGGCCGACGACCTCAGCGACATGGGCGTCGCCCCCGCCGCGGCGCTGCGCATCCTCTGCGCGATTAACGCGCAGCGCATGGCCGCGTCGAAGCTCGCCGTGAACGAGGTCATGGACGACTCCGCGCGGCACCAGGCCGTCCTCGAGGCCGAGCTCAAGGACCACCGCGCGCGCATCGCCAAGCTCCAGCTCGCGGACGTGCCCGAGGACCTGCTGTGCTGCATCTCCTGCGAGATCATGAAGGACCCGGTGAGCGCCGACGACGGGAACACGTACGAGCGCGTGTGCATCGAGCAGTGGTTCGCGACGGGCAAGCGGACGTCGCCGAGGACGAACGAGCCGCTGGAGTCGCTGAAGCTGCGGCCGAACCACGCGATCCGCCGGCTGACGGCGACCTACCTCGAGAGCCGGGGTAAGGACTTCTGAGGTCGGAGGGATGTGTCCGAGAGGCCTATGAGGTGTCTCGGAGGCTCCTCGGAGCCCTTCGCTCGGCGATCGTTGATTTGCCTCGGCACGAGGCGACCGCACGGCTGTTGACGAGACGCGCTCAAAACAGCGCACGCGCCCCGGGGATCCACGGTTGCGGGACGACGGGCACCATGCGTATTTTCATCCTCGTGTCCCTCGCCGCCCTCGCGGCTGCCGCATCGACGAAGAGCACTCTGAAAGCAATCAAGGCGGGAGTGAGCGTCGACGAACTGAATGAGATCCTCGGAACCACGGACATCAACGAGGCCGACGAGCGCGGGGGCACCCTACTATGGAGAAACGCCTTCTCCGGGCGCGTCGACGCGGTCGAGCTGCTCCTCGCCGCGGGCGCGGACGCGGAAGCGGCGACGGTCGACGGGCAGACGGCGATCTTGTCGCCGCGTACCGGGGCCACGCTGACGTGCTCCGCGTTCTTCTGGAGGCGTCCGGCGACGTCGACCGCCCGGACGTCAACGGAACGACCCCGGCTTGCGCGGCCGCGATATCGGGCCACGTCGACGCGCTTCGGGTCCTCGTCGATTCCGGCGCGGACGTCAACAAGGGCCCGAAGCAGATGACGCCCTTGTGGATCGCGGCGAAGAGCGGGCACGTCGACATGGTCGCGCTGCTGCTGGAAGCCGGGGCCGAAAACACGGCGGCGCGGAAAGGGCGGGACGCCGCGTGGATCGCCGCGAGGGCCGGTCACGCGGACGTGCTCCGTTTGCTGGCGAAGCACGTCGACGACCTCGATCGCGCGAGCTCGGACGGCACGACCGCCGTGGCCGAAGCCGCCCACGCGGGGCACGTCGATGCTCTGCGAGTCCTCGTGGCCGCGGGCGCGGACGTCTACAAAAATACGAACGGTTCGACGCCGTTGGCCTTGGCGGCGCAGGCCGGCCGCGCGGATGCGGTCGAGCTGCTGCTCGACGCCGGGGGCGCGGAGGAGCGGGACGTCGATGTCGCGGCGCGGAACGGACGCACCGTCGTACACATCGCGGCCTTCAACGGCCACGCCGACGTCCTCCGTGCGATGTCGAAGCACGGCGGGGACGTCGACCGCGCGGACGCGAACGGTGTGACCCCGCTGGCCGTCGCAGCGCAAGAGGGTCATGTGGATGCTCTGCGAGTGCTCATAGATGCCGGCGCGGACGTGAACGCAGCCAGCGAAGACGGATCGACGCCGTTGCGCGTCGCGACCAAGAACGGCCTCGAGGAAGTGATCGCGCTGCTGGTCGACGCGGGCGCCGTCGAACCGGTGCGCGGACGGTGCTTCGGGGCGTTGATGTACGTCTTGGCGATGATCGTCCTCGCGTACTTCAATTTACTGGTATACGACAAAGAAGGGTTCGACCAGCTTCTATTCGAAGTGGCCGCCGTCGAGTCGAGCGCCGGCATCGGAGCCGAGACGGACGAGTGGGGCATCTACCTCTGTGCGTCTACGATGGCGCTGACGTTGTTGTCCCATTATTGTCTTAAGGGAGAGGTCATTCCAACGCTCCTCGCTGCCCTCGTGCTTTTGATTAACGCGTCCGCGTTCTTCATGGGCAGGGTCTTCGACAGCAGCAGCGCAGGCAACCAACCTCACTGGTTCCGTCTTGTCGTCTTCTGGCAATGTCCGGTGATCACCGTGGCATTCATTTATTGGGAAAAGGGCTCTCAGACAACCGCGGCCTCCCTCGGCGTCGACGAGTCACGCATCGGCGGAGACGCGCGCATCGCGCTGGAATATTTGCTCCCATGTGCGATTTGCTTCGTTTCGCTCTCGGACCGATTTATCGCATGGTGGTTGTACGGAATGGTGTGCTGGTCTATCGCATGTGATTGTCTGAGCGGCCTTGGTCATTTGTTCCTTTCACGGAAATCCTCGGACTTGCGCATGATTCTCACTGCCACTGCGGGTCTCATCGCTTTCAAGCACTTGTTCAGCAGGCTAGCCATCCTTGTGATTTTGTTTCTCTTCAACCCTCGGGGAGATGGTCCCCGATTGGATCTACTCTTCGTGGTAGCAGGTGGGGCGTACGCGGTAACGATCTGGCGCGAAGTCGGCGGAGTGGCGATATTCATGCTCCTATGCTTCGCCTGCTTCCTTCTGTTCCTCTTTGACCACGATTTCTCCTGGGCGGACCCGATCAAGGACGCGCTCCGCCGCTGGGTGTCCACTCCGGCGTACGCGGCCTTCCGCTACGCGCGCACCAAAGTTCGCGCGTTTCTCAGAATCCGGAATATGCAAGCCGCCGACGCGGACTGGGACACCGACGTCCGACGGGAGCTGTACGGGCGCGACGTCGCGGGAGCGCCGCGCCGAAGACGCCAGAAGCAATTGAAGCCCGCGCGGCCGTCGACGCCGGAGCCCCAGGTTACGGCGGCTACCGCAAAGGCCGCCGAGAAGGCCGCGGCGAGCCTGGCGGCGGAGGCCGAGGCTCAAGCAGACGCAGCCATGCGACGGGAGGCGGCGCGCGACGCGGCGAAGAAGAAGAAGGCGGACGAGAAGCGCGCGCGCGAGGCGGCGGCGCGCGCGGCGGCGAAGGCGAAGGCGGACGCCGCGGAGCAGGCCAAGGCGGAGGCGCGCGCGCGCGCGGCGGAGGCGGAGCGCGCGAAGGCGGCGCGCAAGGCCGCGGAGGCCCGGGACGAGCACGCGCGGGAGGAGGCCGCCGCGGCCGCGGCGAAAGCCAAGGCCGCGGAGGACGCGCGGGCTCGGGCGAAGGCCGCGCGGGAGGAGGCCGCGGCGGAGAAGCTGGCGCGCGAGGAGGCCGCCGCGGCCAAAGCGAAGGCCGCGGAGGACGCGCGGGCTCGGGCGGAGGCCGCGCAGGAGGAGGCCGCCGCGCGCTTCGAGGAGGAGACCGCGGCGCGGGCGCGGACCGACGAGGCGGCGGCGGCGCGCTTCAAGGCGTCGGCGTCGGCGGCGCGCGTCGAGCCGGAGCGCGGCGACGCGAAGATCGTCGCCGTCCTCGCGCGCCTGGGCCTGACGGACCTGCTGCCGCTGTTCCAGGCCGAGGAGATCGAGGACCGCGACTTCGTCGCGCTCGTGGCCGGCGACCTGCGCGAGATGGGCGTCGGCGAAGCCGCGGCGGCGCGCATCCTCGCGGCGCGCGACGAGAAGGACGTCGCGGAGGAGCTCCTGTGCCCCATCTCCTGCGAGGTCATGACGGACCCCGTATCGGCGGACGACGGCCACACGTACGAGCGCGCGTGCATCGAGGCGTGGTTCGCCAAGGGCAAGCGCACGTCGCCGGCGACGAACGAGCTCCTCGAGTCGCTGAAGCTGCGGCCGAACCACGTCGTCCGGCGCATGGTCGCGAAGTACCTCGCGGAGCGGGCCTAAGGTCGCTTAGTGCGCTGCAGGGGTCCCGGGACCCCTCGCGTTGTGGGATCGAATTGCTAGACGCCGTCTCCGTGGACGCCGCCGTGGAGCTGGCTCTCGCCGAGGAGATGGAGGCCCGCGTCGCGCATGACCGCGTGGAAGCTGTCGCCCACCTCGGCCTCGTAGGCGTGGAAGATGCGCTTCCAGGCCGCCGCGCCGAGGGTCTTGGCGACGAAGCGCTCCTGGAGCTGGAGCGCCGGGTGGAGCACGTGCGGCGCCTTGTCGACCGCGGCGAGGAAGCCGTCGAAGCTCATGAGGCTCTTGTCGAGCGAGTGGTGGGACGTCATGGAGTCGCAGATCTCGAGGAAGTTGGCGTTCGTGCCGCCGAAGCGGCTGCCCTGGACGGCCGCGGAGATCTGCTCGAGCTCGCGGATGTCGAGTTTCCCGTCGTCGTCCGCGTCGAAGAGCGCGAACACGAAGTAGACGAGCTGGCGCTTCTCGAGGCCGCAGACGACGCACGCGGCCAGGAAGAACTCGGAGAAGGAGAGCTTCTTGTCGTTGTTGAGGTCCGCCCAGTCGAAGATGATGCCGTCGAGGAGCGACCGGAGGAACGGCGTCGGGTCCAGGTCCAGGAGCTCGAAGAACTCGGACGTGCTCATCTCCTCGTCGGCGTCGTGGGCGCCCATGTTCTTGGCGAAGACGTTGTGCAGCCGGCGCATCTGCGCGTCGGGGACGTGGAGCACGTTGTGCGCGAGCGCCGCGAGGCCCGCGTCGATGGCGAACGCGTGCGTCTTCCCGAAGCAGCCCGCCGTCCGGTAGCGGATGACCTGCTTCTCCATGCGCCAGTCCGTCTCCTTGGCCGCGGCCGGCGTCGCCCGGGGCGGCGCCGGCGCGTCGCCGCCGGGCGCGACCTTGGAGCGCGAGCTCGTCCGCGAGGGCTTCGACGGCTTCGGCGTCGCCTCCCGCATCTTGATGTGCTCCTGGTAGTGGTGCAACGCGTTCTTGCGCTCCTCGTCCGACGCCAGCCCCTGGCCCCGGGGCTTCGACTGCTTTTTTTTCAGCGACGGCCGCTCCTCGCGGCCCGACGCCCGCTCCTCGAGCGACGGCCGGTCCACGGAGTCCTTGCGGTGGTGGTGGTGGTGTTCGCCGTCCTTGTGATGGTGGTGTTCGCCGTCCTTGTGGTGGTGGCGGTGCTGCGACGGCCGCTCCTCGACTTTGGTCTTCGAGTTCCGTCGTTCGCGGAGCACCGGATGCTCGCCGGGCTTCGAGCCGCGCCGCTGCTGCGAGTCGCGGCCCTCCTTGCGCTCCTCGCCGCCGTCGTGGTGGTGATGCTCGTGCCCGCTGCTGCGCCCGCTGCTGCGCTTCTTCTCCAGCGAGTCGCGCTTTTTCTTTTCGTGTTGTTTCGCGATGAGCGACTCTCGTTTCGCGATGAGCGACTCCCGCTTCTTTTCGATGCGCGCGAATTTGTGGTTTTCGCTGAGCTCGTCCGCGAGGTATTTTTTGCCGGGTGCACCGGGATCCGGCTCAGCACTCGTCATGGCGAGATGCGGGCTGCTAGTCGCCGGCCAACGCGGGCAGGGCCGCTCCGAGGCGAGACGAAGGTGCATTGATGCTGAAGATGCAGTGTGCCGAGTGAAGCATGGGCACAAGCCTCGAGGCATCAGAGTTGCGAAGCTCAATGCGCCTGGTTCTGCAACTGTTGCTGTCATTGCAAGCCGCGTCGCTCGCGCCCTACCGCGTCACGTTCGTCAAGCCGGAGAGCGTCGCGGGCGTGCCCTGCATCCTGGCGCCGCCGTCGCTGGCGAAGTCGTCGCTGGCTTTGCTGCGGCGCGCGGGCTGGCACCCGCCGCGGCACCTCCGGCGCGTCGACGGCGACGGGCGCGCGTACCAGCTCTCGGACGCGGGCGCGCTCGCGCTCGCCGCCATGCTCGACGACGACGCGGGCGCCGCGGCGGACGGAGGCTCCGCGACGGAGCAACGCGCCGCGGCGGACGGCGGCTCCGCGACGGAGCAACGCGCCGCGGCGAAAGAGCTCGCCGCGCTCGTGCGCGCGGGCCGCCTGCGCTGGGCGCCGCTGCACCAGATCCACGCGCCGCTCGTCGAGGACGCGCGCCACGCGCCGCCGCACGAGGGCCACTTCGTGCGGCACCTGCCCGAGGGCGAAGCGCCCGCGCCGCGGACGCCGCGCGTCGTGACCTTCGCCGAGCTCTTCGCGGGCATCGGCGGCTTCCGCGCGGGCCTCGAGGCCGCGGCGGGCGCGCCGCCGGCGCCCGCGGTCGCGTGCGAGATCCTCGAGTCCGCGCGCCGCATCTACGCGGCGAATTTCGGCGCCGAGTCGCTCACGGCCGCGCCGGTGCAGCGCCTCGACCGCCTGCCGGCCTGCGACCTCTTGATGGCGGGGTTCCCCTGCCAGTCCTACACGGAGCAGGCGGGCAAGCGGCGCCGCGGCTTCCGGGACCCGCGCGGCCAGCTCTTCTGGCACGTGATCCGCCTCCTGGCGGCGTCGGAAATGGCCGACCGGCCCGAGGCCCTGCTCCTGGAGAACGTGCGGGGGCTCCGCGAGGCCCGGGGCCTGTGGCCCGGCGAGGCGTCCGGCGGCGAGCCGCCCGCGGGCAGCGCGCTGGAGGCGTGCCTCGCGGCGCTCTCGCGCTGCGGCTACGCCGTCGCGTCGCGGGTCTACGACTCCGCGGGCGCGCTGCCCCAGGCCCGCGAGCGCGTCTACATCGTCGCCATCCGCGCGGACCTCGCCGCCGCGCGGCGGTTCCGCTGGCCAGCGCTCGAGCGGCGCGGGCCCCGGAGCATCCGCGACGTCCTCGAGGACCCGCCCGACGCCGAGCGCCACCGCGTGCCGCGCGCGCTCTATCGATCCGTCGTCGACTCGGCCTACCACGCCGCGCGGCCGCGCGCCCGCTTCCCGGACGTCGACGGCCCCGCGAACACGGTCCGCGCGACGTACCGGCGCAGCCCGAAGCTCTTCTCCCAGTTCGTGCCGCTGGCCGGCGGCGACCCGCCCTGGCGCTTCCTCACGCCCCGCGAGGTCGCGCGCCTCCAGGGGTTCCCCGACGACTTCGCCCTCGACGCCGCCGACGAGGCGGACCAGTACGCCGCGATCGGCAACGCCGTGAGTCCGCCCGTCGTCGAGGCCCTGTGCGGCGCGCTCCTTGACGCGCTAGGGTAAGGGATTTACTCGCCCCACGGCGCGACATCCCGAAAGTACGCGAGCAAGGCGTCGGTCGTCAGCCAGGAAGTCGTTCGTCCCGTCGAGTCGTTCGGGTCGTCAGTGACCATAAACATGGAATCAAGTACGCCGCCTTCTCGATCGATAAAGCAACCCGGGGTTAATTTTGACCCCCCGAGCTATGGTCACTTTTTTTTTCACTTTTTTTTTTTTGCGCCGCGAGCCGCGGAGGGTCCAGGGGGTCCCCGGGGACCCGCCCGGGGCGTGCGCGAGCGGGGGGGGGGGGCGAACGCGCGCCGACCGTCGTAATGCGCCGCGCGGTCCCGCGCGGGCGCGACACGCGGCCGTCGCACGCGCGCTAAAGCGAGTTCCTCGACAACCCGCCGCGTCGCAGCGCCCTTCCCCACCCCCTGGTGCCCCGGGGGTCCACCGGGGCGCGTAGGAGCATCGAAAAAAAAAAGTCAAAAAAAACGTGCCAATAGCTCCCATAGCTCGAGGGGTCAAAATTAACTCCGATCTGCTTTATCAAGCGTAGGTTCGAAGATGAAGGTAGGGCTCATGGGAAAGTTTTCGGTGTTTCTGTCGCCGACTACTTGCCGGCTCAAAGATGCCTGGTTTTCCGGTATGGGGATTCGATTTTTCATTTTGACATCGACCATAAGGGGGTCGTAGCAATTCACCGTCGCATCTTTCACACCGCTGGCGACACCGAGTAGCAACGTCTGAATGCCGCCGCCGTCGGGGCTCCTTCGAGACACCCGGGCTTCGACGCGCAGATTCAATTGGTCAAAATATCCAGGACCGAACTGCAAGTCTGTTGGATTGAATGTCGAGCCATACGGGCCAGGGTCCTTGTCTCCATCAAATTGTTGACCTTCGCCGAACACATAGTGAAAGCAAGCCGGCCGGTTCTTCCCCCCCCACAAATGCATGTAACAACCGCCGTCCACGTCGCCACATAGTTCCTCAGTAACAGACGCGATAGGTTTGTTTGGTGGAGCGATGAGGTCATTATCCGAGAAGAGCTCCACGGTCACGGGGAAGTCGGCCAGCGTGGTCTCGTCGCTCCGGGCGTCCTCGGGCTGGACCATTACCTCGGCGTCCAGCTGCGCGCGATAGAGCGCGCGCCACTGCGACGACGACGACGGGGCGCCAAGTAACCGCACGAGGTCGACGACCCGGGGAAAGCGTCGCGCGCACCACTCTCGCCATGCGGCGGCTGCCTCCTCTCCTTGGAGCGCTAGCTGCCACGCCTTGCAAGTCGGCGCAAGGCCAGCGACGACCGCAGCTCCGTCCGGCGCGTACCTCGCGATTTGCACGACGAGCTCGGCGCATAGCGCGCGGTCTGCGCGCGCGCGAGCTCGCGTGCTGCCTGCCCGAGCTCGCGTGCTGCCCGCCATCTCGTATTCGAATGGGAGTTGAAGCAGTGGTTGCAGTGAAGCATCAACCTTGCTCGAGAGCAGGCATGGAAAAAGCTCTGGTTTGCAGTGAACAATGCGCTGGTGCTTCGCGAGCGTAGCTCGCCATTTGCAGTGATCAATGCGCTGGTGCTTCGCGGGCGTCGCGGCCGTAGCGCTGCAGCAGCCGTACCGGCCGCCGCGGCAGTCATCGCGGCAGTCATCGCGGCAGTCATCGCTGCAGCCACCAACAGCGCCGCCAGCAACACAGGAGCGCCTCACGCTCACGGCCGACGGCGTCGTCTACGATGTGACGGACTTCGACCACCCCGGCGGCCGCGAGCTGCTCCTCGCGCACGCCGGCGAGGACGTGACGCACCTCGTCGCGTCGAACCACCGGCGGCCCGCGAACGCGCTGCGCGCCGCGCGCGTGAAGCGCCGCGGCGCCGGCGGCTCCTACTTCGACCGCGGCGCCGACCTCTACGACGCGCTCAAAAGGGAGGTCCGCGCGGCCGTCGGCGACCCGCCGGCCACCGTCGCCGCCGCCGCGCTCTGGCCCTACGCGGCGCGCGTCGCCTGCGTCGTCGCCTGCCAACGCGGATGCGCGCCGGCGCTCTTCGCGATCCTCTACGGCCTGCTCCTCGGCCGGAGCGTCTGGACCAGCGTCGAGCGACAGGAGTGTTTTTTCGCGTGAATTTCGCCTGAAGATGTGAAGAAATCCGACCCCGTCGCACTTGGTAGGTCTGGACGGTCACGCACGAGTACGTCCACGCGCCCGCGCGGTGGCCGCGGTGGGTCCGCGTCCTGCACACCCTCGACTTCGCGAACGTCGGCGACGTCTGGCTCGCGGAGCACCACCGCCACCACGCGGCGACGAACCGCGACGGCGACCCGGATCGGCGCTGGTTCGAGCCCGTCGTGCCCGGCTTCGACTCCCTCGCCGCGGACCGGCGGCGCGGCGGTTTGGGTGTGCTGCTCCGGGCTTGTTTCGTCTACCCGCTTTTACCGCTATTTATGGTCGCGCGGGTGGCGGCGTTCCTGCTCCGGGGCGACGGCGACGACGCCGCCGCGCCGCGGACCCGCGCCGCGCGGCGCGCGCTCGCGATCGGCGGCGCGCTCGCGCTGCCGCGGTTCGCCCTGGACGCGCTGCTCCTCCACCCGTTCTACCCGCTCACGTTCCTCGCGGCGACGTCGTACCTGGCGCTCACGTTCGTCGCGACGCACACGGCCGACGAGGCCAACTACGCGCAAACGAAGGCGCCGACGACCCAGGACGAGTGGCTCGTCGACCAGATCGCGTCCACGAACGACGTCCGCGCCGACGGCCCGGTCTACACGTGGCTCACGGGCGGCATCAACTGCCACTCCGCGCACCACCTCTTTCCGAACCTCCCGGGCGCCAAGCTCGGCGCGGCGACGGAGGTCCTGCGGCGCTTCTCCGCGCGCCACGGCCTCCCCTACCGCAACTTCTCGCCCGCGGGCCTCTGGGGCTCGCACGCGTCGTTCCTCCTCGGCCGCCGCGCGCCCGAGGAGCGCCGCTGCCCCGTTGCTTCCTAAGCGAAAGTTACTGGGCGTCGTAGGAGTCGAGCAGGGCGCAGTAGCAGGGGCAGCGGAAGCACGTCTTGCAGGCGCCGGGCTCGAGCTCGGGCGGGTGGACGCGCTCGAGGAGGACGCCGTGGCCGAGGTGCGTCGCGTCGATGAGGAGGTAGGCGTTGTCCTGGAAGGCCGGGTCCGAGAGGACGACGAAGCCGTCGGGCGTGACCCTCGTCCCCCAGACGAGGTCGCCGCAGTCGTGGGACGTCGCGGGCGCGGACTTGACGGACGGCAGGCACCGCGACACGACCTTCGCCTTGTCGTAGACGACGCGCCACTGCGTCCGGCGGCGGATCTTGGGCATGTTCGGCGCGCGGTCCAGGATGGCGTAGAGCTCCCGGGGCGGCGTCGGCGGCGCCGCGCGCGGCCGCTTCACGGGGGGCCACGGGGGCTTGCCCGGGCCGCGGTGCGCCGCGAGGCACCGCCGCGGGAAGGGCACGCGCTCGAGGAGGCCGTAGGCCGCGAGGTAGGGCTTCTCGCCGTGCTGGTCCTGGGCGATCCACGTCCTGTAGAAGAGCTCGATGAGGCGCCGCGCGTCGCCACCGTCGCCGGGGTCCTCGTCCGCCTGTTCGAGGCGGACGACGAGCTCCCGCGACGCGAGGTGCGACCGCATGTTGTTGACCATGCCCGGCCGCTCCTCCTCGTCGTCGCCCGTCTGCTCCGGGTCCGGGAAGTCGCCCAGCACCTCGTACTTGCGCTTCCAGTAGTCGAAGCCGCAGTTCGCGTAGTGCAGGATCACCGGCGCGAGCGCCATGTCCGCCGTGTCCATGCCCACGGCGCCGGCGCCGTCCGTGCCCAAAAACCCGTGGACGCCGCCCAGAGGCACGCGCGCGGGCCGCGGCCGCAGGCGGCAGGCCGACTTGCCGTTCTCGTAGGCGTTGAAGTAGTCCGCGATGTGGTCCAGGTACGGGTCGTAGTCCGGGTCCTCCTTGGGCCCGAAGGACTTGTCGTCGGGCGGCGGGCTCGGCGGCCGCGGCGGCTTGGGCTTCTTCGCCTCTTCCGCGGCGCGGGCTTTGGCCTTGGCCCAGGCCTTGGAGAAGTCCTCCTCGATCTCGTTGCCGTCCTCGAGCATCTGCGAGAGCGTGCGCCCGCCGCGCGACTCGCGGAGCGTCGGCGCGGGCAGCTTGATGCCCGCGTCCAGGAGGCGGATGGCCGTGTTGAGCCGCGCGGTCCCGATGCGCGCCGTGACCTCCGCGAAGGGCTCGGGCACGACGGACTCGGGGCACTGCGTCGGGTCGTTCGAGCCCTGGCGCAAAACGTCGAAGTCGCCCGCGGCTCCCATGCGCTCGCGGCGCTTGCGCCGCGCGTCGCGCCGCTTCGCCCGGAACTGCTCGACGGTACCGCCGCGCAGGCCGTGGCAGTGGAGCTTGTTAATTTTGAAGAGGTCGACGTCGGAGAACCAGTCGTCGTCGACGCGGAACTTCTCCGGCAAGATCTCCAGGTTCAGGAAGCGCACCTGGTCCGCGCCCTTCGGCACGCGCTCGGCGAAGAAGCGCCGCGCGTCGGTCCGGTGCCGCGCCGCCGGGCAGTAGAAGAGCTCGTCGACGTCGATGTGGAAGCACCAGTCGAGGCCCAGGCCCTGCGCCTCGCAGAGCGCGAGGTCCACGACGACGGCCTGGCGCGCCTGGACGTCGCCCGTCTCCAGACTGTCGATCATGCGCCGCTCCGTGTGGAAGTGGAAGGCCCGCAGGCCGCCGCCCTCGCCCCGGGCCTCGGCCTCGCGCTCCATGCGCAAAGCGTAGTCGCCCCGCACCAGGAACCGCGACGCCTCCCGTTTCCTCAGATCCTTCCACCAGTCGCCGCTGCAGCGGTGCACGACGACCGCGCCGCCCGTGTGCGTCGCGCAGTCCTCGGCGACGGCGACGGCCTCCTCGTCCTCGTGGGGCGCGTCGAAGTACATCCAGATCTTCTCGAAGCCGATCGCGAGATGGTACCGCAGGAAGCCGTCGACGACCATCGCCGGCGCCGCGCGCACCATGAGCGCGATGCCCAGACGAGGGAGGGGCCCCTCGTCGGCCATGCCGTGCATCAGGTCGTAGGCGCCCGTCTCGAGGCCGTCGTCGCCGCCGTCCTCGGCGCGGAACCGGCTCAGCATCTGCGCGCCGCGGACCCGCGGCAGCAGGTCGTGGCCGATGCGGTCCTTCTCGGGCCACTTGAGCCCGAGGCGCGGCCGGTCGCAGCGCGCCGTCAGCCCGTGGCGGCTCAGCTCCTGCTGCACGGGCGCGTAGACGCCCTCGCCGGGGTCGTACACACTCTTCATGGACTGCCAGGGCGCCGAGGCCATCGGGTGCAGCATGAGCTGATTGTTGGGCTCCTCCGTCTCGCCGGACCAGTCCAACGCCTGCTTCCGCCGCATGAAGTCCTTGTAGCTCGCCATGCTGCGACGATAGTCGACTTTCCCAAAAGATTACAAGCTCGGGGCGCCGATCGACGAAGCTCGGGGCGCGACCGTTTGCTAGCGCCAAGTCCGCCGCGTCCGCGACCGCGACCGGCCCCGAGCCGCGGCGATGGACGGCCGCGCCGCCCGCGCGCCGCCCGCCGGGCGCGGGCGCGTCGTCGAGTCGACGCGGCGCCCGCGGCGCGCCGCGTCGACGGGACGCGCGTCTCGCCGAGGGGCTGCCCCAACTGCCCCAACGGCGACCTCGGGCGATGGCGACGGCCCGAAGGCGCGGCGCGCGTCGCCGCGGCCCGGCGCTCGCGGCGCGTCCCCCGCGCGCCGCGCGCCGGGACCCGGATCGCATCGTCGAGGCGGCCGACCGGACCGGACCGTCGCGCGGGGCTCGGCCTCGGGGCGACCCCCGGCGCGAAGCGCCGGAAGAAAATTTTGCGCACGCGCCGGACGCCCCGCGCGTCTGGGTCTCGCCGCGAGCTCACGCAGCCCGTCGGATGACCGGTTACGGGCCGCGGACCGTCGCGCCACGGCGTCGTCCCCTCGGCGCGCCCGTGCAACCGTAAAACGGTTGTACTTTCGGACCGACGCGGGCAACAGCCCGCGGTCGAAGGCAACCACGCGGAGGACAAGGAGTCCATCGACATGCAGCTCGTGGACGTCGTCCGCGAGGAGTCCTAGCACCTCGACTACCTCCGGGCCTTCCGCGGGCCTCCGGCTCGCGCGCCGACCGTGCCCGAGGACTTCGAGACGGCCGCGTCCACGACTACAACCTCGACGAGTGCCCACGGGACTCGGAGCGATGGACTCCACGCACGCGACGGCCGGCGGGCGGCGGGAGATCGACGAAGATCCCGGCGTCGGCGTCGGCGTCGTCCCCTCGAACGTCTTCGAGACCGTCGCGCTGCTCGGCCGCGCGAAGCGCGGAGGAAAATTTTCCGCATCGCCGCCGCCACCTCGATGCTCGTGACGTGTCGCCCGGCCTCGGCGACTCGACTATCAGCGCGGAGTCTTCCTGGCTGCTACGCGGGCCGTTGCCCGGGGTGCGAAGCTCTGATCACGCCGCACCGCGCGAAGCGCGGAGCCTCTGCCACCGCGCTGGTGCTGCCCCGGCGCCTGACTTGCCCCGGCGCCTGACTTGACCGCAGCGACGAGGGCCATCGATGCCGCGGACGCGTCGCCCAGCTCGGTGGGTCGTCTGCGGAGCGGACCCGCGACCTGCCGAGGCGCGCTCGCCGGCGCTGTCGTGCTGCCGGCGCTGGGTCCCGAACCGGCCGCCTGCCCGAGCTCGCCCCGCCTCGCCATCCTCGCATTGCCCGACCCGCGGCCTGACATTCCCGTGGCGCGGGGCCGTCGCCTCCGCCGCGCCGGTCCCCCGCCCCGGTCTTCCCCGCCCGGGCCCCCCCGCCCCGGTCTTCCCTGCCCGGGGCTCCGGCCCCGGTCCTCGGGCTGGCTCGGGGCCTCTGGCTCGGGGCCTCCGGCCCCGGCCTCCGAGCGCCTCCGGCGCTCGGGGCTGCGCCCCGAGCTTCGGGGCTGCGCCCCGAGCTTCGGGCTACCGCCCCGAGCTTGTAATTTTTCCAGGCCTTCAGTGGTGCGCGGGCAGCCCTGAGATGGAGGGCAACATGGTTGGTTTCACGTGCAACTTGCAGTAGGTGCGCTCCGAGCTCGAGGGCTCGTGTTTGTGGAGACCGAGCTTGTGTCTCGCAGCTCGTCGGCGGCTCACGCAGCTCGGCAGCCAAGAGCATGTCGGCCGTGCGCTACGCGCTGCGCAACGGCGTCGCCGTGCTGCACGTCACGTCGCCGCCGGTCAACGCGCTCGGCGCCGCCGTGCGCGCGGGCCTCGTGTCGTCCATGGAGCGCGCGCTCGCCGACTCGGCGACGGGGCTCGTCGTCGTCGGCGACGGCCTGACGTTCCCCGCGGGCGCGGACATCACGGAGTTCGGCAAGCCGCCAATGGAGCCGAGCTTCGGCGAGGTCATGCGCGCCTTCGAGGACGCGGATATCCCGACGGCCGCGGCGATCCACGGCACGGCGCTCGGCGGCGGCTTCGAGCTCGCCATGTCGTGCCACTACCGCGTCATGGCGAGCTGCGCGCGGGTCGGTTTGCCGGAGGTGCACCTCGGCATCCTGCCCGGCGCGGGCGGCACGCAGCGCCTGCCGCGGCTCGTCGGCGCGGACGCGGCGGCGGAGATCATGGTCACCGGCCGCCAGGTGTCGGCCAAGGAGGCGCTCGCGCTCGGCGCCGTCGACGCCGTCGTCGCCAAGGCGGATTTGGAAGCCGAGGCCGTCAAGGTCGTCGAGGCGTCGCCGGTCCGCCGCACGAAGGCCGTGCTCGTCGACGGCTTCAAAGACGCGGACTCCATCGCGAAACTGAAGGCGCGGGCGACGCTCAACGCGCCGAAATCCATCATCCAATGCGTCGAAGCCGCCGTGTGCAACGATATGCAGGACGGCCTCGCCTTCGAGGAGGCGCGCTTCCGCGAGCTCCAGGGGTCGACGCAGGCCAACGCGCTGCAGCATCTCTTCTTCGCGGAACGCGCGTGTTCCAAGGTGCCCGGCGTGTCGCCCGAGGACGCCGTCGACGTCCAGGCCGCGGGCGTCGTCGGCGGCGGCACCATGGGCCGCGGCATCGCCATGTGCTTCGTCGACAACGGCCTGCCGGTGACGATCCTCGAGACGTCGGCCGACGCGGCCGCCGCGGCGATATCGGGCGTCGAGGAGACGTACCGCCGATCGTCGGCCTTCAAGCGGGGGCGGCTCACGGAGGAGGCCCTCACGGCGAAGCTCAACCTCCTGTCGTCGGCGTCCGACGTCGACGCCTTAAAGGACTGCGACCTCGTCGTCGAGGCCGTCTTCGAGGACATGGCCGTGAAACGATCGATCTTCGCGGATTTGGACCGCGTCACGAAGCCGTCCTGCGTCCTCGCGAGCAACACGTCGACGCTGTCCATCGACGGCATCGCCGGCGCCGTCGCGGACCCGGCGCGCGTCGTCGGCATGCACTTCTTCAGCCCGGCGAACGTCATGCGGCTTTTGGAGAACGTCCGCGGCGCGCGCACGGGCCCCGCGGCCGTCGCGACGGCCATGGCCATGGGCAAGAGGCTCAGGAAGACGACGGTGCTCGCGGGCGACGACTTCGGGTTCATCGGGAACCGCATGCTCGAGCCCTACGGCCGCGAGTGCCTCGCGCTGCTCCGCCACGCGAACTGCGGGCCCGAGCTCGTCGACGCGGCGCTCCTCGAGTACGGCATGGCCATGGGCTTCTTCCAGATGTCCGACCTGGCGGGCAACGACATCGGCTACGCCGTGCGGACGTCGCTCGGGCTCACGGACGCGGCCTCGCGCGACCCGGCCGTCGAGTACTCGGCGGACGTCGCCGACGCGCTGGCCCGGGCGGGCCGCTTCGGCCAGAAGGTGGGCAGGGGCTGGTACGCCTACGAGACGCCGCGCGTGCCGTCGTCGGACCCGGCCGTCGCGGAGCTCATCGCGGGCTTCAAGGACGCGAGCCTCGCGCCGGACGTGACCCACGGGGACGTCGTCGACCGCGCGCTCCTCGCGCTGGCCAACGAGGGCTTCCGGGTCCTCGAGGAGGGCCTCGCGCTGCGGCCGTCGGACATCGACGTCGTCTGGACGTCGGGCTACGGCTTCCCCCGGCACCGCGGCGGGCCCATGCAGTGGGCCGCGGACGACGTCGGCCTCGCCGAGGTCAAGGCGACGCTCGACGCGCTCCACGCGGCCCGGCCCGACGTGCCCTACCTCAAGCCCGCGAGGCTCCTCGCGGACATGGCCGACGCGGGCGCGAAGCTGGGGGACTGGGAGAAGTTCCTCTGAGTCGCTTCTTCTAACACGGTCTTAGAGATAGTTGTATCTCCGAAAGGGCTTGATGACGGGCTTTTTGGGGTTCCATGCCAGAATCCCCAGCGCCCCGCCCCGGCTTGCCAGGACGTCGGCGATGGCGTCTTGCTCCTCCTCATAGATGTTGTCGTCCGACCAGCTTTCGTCGTAGATCCATCTGACCTCGGCTAGAGCGGGGCATCCATCCACCAAGCGCGCAAGAATCCTCGAGTCGAGGACGTCAAATTCAAAATGGCCGAGTTCGACGCGTCGGAGCGTCAGGGAGCAACGGCTCGTGAGGATCGCGTCGACGAAATCTCGAGTCAAATCAGTTCCAGAACCGCCTATTGCGAGCTCATGCAGAGAAAAGGTTTTGCAGACATGCTTGAAGCAGGCATCGGTGAGCATGTGTCCGCTAGGGAAATCAAGTCTCGTGAGCTCCGGACGAGCGACATAGAGATTCGAGAAGAGCTCGGTATCAAACTCTGTTTCCGTCGGCATGGTCAGGTCGCGCAAATGGGAAAATCTTTGTGCTGCCAAAACGAGCATTTCGTCTTCGATGAGCGCGTCAGCAAAAGAAAGCCGCGTCAGACGCGCACCCAAGGGGCTCCGCGCGAGAAAGTCCAACAACTCGCGCTGCACGCTGCATCGGCCAAAGTCGATGTCACGGATGTTTTCGCAAGTCGCCATGGTCGCCTCGATCGCCTCGAAGCGGCTCGGGATATACTCACTGCTCCAGAGTCCATTGGCGTCCAGATCGAGTGTCTCCAAGTTTGGGAAGTTCGCAGCCCAGGACTCCGCTGGGCTTAAATGCGCTATGGGCGGCAGGTGGACAAAGGAGACCATCGGACAGACTGGCGCCACTCTGGCAGCAATCTCGACGGCGCCGGCCGACGTGAGCAGAGGATTGTTCAATGCGACGGACAGCGTCTTCAACCGTGGACACGCGCTGCACAGCTCCACGAGCAAGTCGACCGAGACGGCGGTAAATGAGAGGTTGAGGACCTCCAAGCCGCCGCGGGTCGCGAGTACGAAAGATTTGAGCGTCAACAACGCCGCGGGCGTTTTGGCGCACGGTCGCACCCGTCGACAGCCTGGGCCAAACACTTGCCCGATGGCTTCGATAGCTTTCAGACGCGCGCATGGATCATACGCCGTATCACTCTCATAGTTCCCGCCTGTATCTGGTTTCCACTGAAAGTACACACAGTCCGCGTGGCGAGGTACGGCCCGCCGCACCGCATCGCGACCGCCCACCCAAGCGCAACGGAGCGCAAGCAGATCATCGAACGGGACCCAAGAGGCCACTACAGCCAGCGTGTCCGGCGGAATGCGAGCGATGGCGCAGCGGTCGCTTGCGAAGCGCGCGCTGACGAGCTCCGCCGCGTCGTCGCGCCCGCGCCCGCGCAGGAATTTCACGACGGCGTCGAGCTCCACCGAGCCGCCCATGGCGCAATCGGCGCGATGTGATCAGTGTGCGACTCAAATCGATTGCAGCGGCCGCGAGACTGCCTAAGTTGTGCACATCGCGGAGCGCTTTGCGGCACCATCGGCTGTTTGACCTCGAAACGCCGCCCAGCCAGCCCGATGCCCGACTTCGCCGCTCAAAACCCCTCGCCCAAGGGCGGCCGCCGCGGCATCGCGCGCGCCAACGCGGGCCTGACGGGCCCCAGCCCGCCGCGCTGCGGCGGCTACGTGCAGCGCAAGGGGGCGGGCTTCATCGGGGCCCACAGCTACAAGCGGCGCTACATGGAGCTCCACCGCGACGCCGAGGGCCTGGGCCCCGTGCTGCTCGTCCACCGGCGCTACGGCGGCAAGGTCTGCGCGAAGACGGTCCTCGACGGCTACGACCGCATCTCCATGCCCGCGGGGAAGAAGAAGGGCAAGCACGTCTATTTCGAGATCGCGCACAAGTCGCGGACCGCGCGGCGGTTCCGCGTCGAGGACGAGGCCCAGCGCAAGAAGTGGATGGACGGCATCACCCTGGCCCTCAAGGAGCACGCCGCGGGCATGACGCCCGAGCAGCGCCGGCGCATCGACGCCTTCCTCAAGTCGGGGAACGCCGACGCCGAGGACGAGCCCGCGGACGACGACGACGACGGCGGCGACGCGGCGCCCGGCGGCGACGCGACGCCGGGGAGCCCGTTGGACGACGTCGGGGACTTGGACGAAGCCCTCGACGCGCCGTCGCCGCGCGCGCGGGCCCAGACGGGCGAGGACTTTGAGGCGGCGCACCGCGCGCTGCTCGAGAGCCGGCACCGGAGCCGGCGCGTGCGGCGGAGCTTCAAGCACGCGGCGCCGGCGGCGGATGACCACGAGACGTCCGACGCGTCCGACGACGACGGCGACGACGACGACGGCGGGGACTGGTGCGAGTGGAAGACGTACGTCGACGACGCGACGGGCCACACGTACTTCATGAACGACAAGGGCGAGTCCTACTGGGGCGCCGCCGTGCTCCACGACGCGGACCACGGGCCCTGGGAGGCCCGCGTGGACCACGCGACGGGCGCGACGTACTACTTCAACGTCGACACGGAGGTGTCGCAGTGGGAGCGGCCCGACGACTACGTCCCGCCGCGGACTCCGGCCGAGGAGGCGGAGGCGCCGGCGGCGGAGGAGCCGGAGACGCGGGGCCGGTCGGACACGGAGCACCACCACCACACGAAGCACCGGCCCCGCGCGCTCCCGGGCCTCGCCAAGGCCGACTCGCGCCTCGCGCTGCCGGCCGTCCGCGCGCCCTGCGCCTGGGAGGCCCGCCACGACCCGAACCACGACGCGACCTACTACTACAACGCGACGACGGGCGAGAGCACGTGGGAGAAGCCCGCGGACTTCTGCGAGTGAATAACGACCCCGAGCGGTGAATAAAAACGGAAAGGTTACCTCGCTATCGCGCGCGGGGCACGGTCGAGTCGCCGTCCTCGCGGCGCCGGCGGCGGCGCTGGGGCGGGTTCCGCGGCGCCGGCTGCCGCTTCGCCTTCTTCCCCGCCGCGGCCTCCGGCGGACCCGGGAGGAAGGACGGGAACGCGCGGCCCTCGGCCTTGGCGGTGCTCTTCGGCGGGAAGTTCGTCGCCCGGTCCTTGGACACGGGCCCGTTCGTCGGCGCCAGCAGGTCCTTCTTGAAGGCCGCGTAGCGCTTCGGGTCCACGCCCAACACGCGCGACGCGAACTCCTTGTCGCCGGGCGTGAAGAGCGCCTGGAGCGGGAACGTCGTGATGGGCACGCCGAGCTGCTTGAGGAAGGCCGTGCGCGGCTTGATGACGCCGTCGAGCGGGTAGGAGAAGTAGGCCGGGAAGCGCACGACGTCGTAGACCGACAGCGCGCACTTGACGAGCTCGGCCATCTTCGGCCGCAAATCGCGGTCGACGTCGTAGGCGAGCACGGGCGGCAGCCGCGTGACGAAGCGCGCCGTGTTGACGACGCCGATCCCCTCGAGGAACTTGACGTTCGCCCGCATCGTCGCGACGTCGACGCCCAATAACGAGGGGAACGCGCGGCAGATCCGCGGCACGTCCGCGGCGTTGATCTTCAGCTCGTCGAGCCAGAAGTCGAGCACGGGGCCCATGGCGTCGTCGAGGCCGAAGAGCAGGGGAAAGGCCTCCACCAGCGACGCCAGATCCGCCTCGTCGACGCCCGCGCGCTCCCGGAGCACGTCGAGCGGCCGCAGCAGCGACTCGCGGTCCGATAACAAAGCCCGCGGATACGCCCGGACCACGTTCTCGACGTTGGTCACGCCGACCTCGTCGCGCAGCACCGTCGCCGCGTCGCGCACGGTCGCCACGGGCGCCGCCAGCAGCCAGGGGTTCGCCCGGTACAGCGACCCGATGGACCGCTCGAAGCCGAGCGAGTTGATGTAGTCCGTCACCGCGAGCATCTGGGGCATCTCGATGCTCAGCAGCTGGGGCCAGCGCACGACCATCTCCTTGACGTGCTTCGTCCGCACGCCGACGGACGTCAGCAGCAGCACGGTGTCGGAGATGGCCGCCGTCGCGTCCAGGTCGCCCGACCGGGGCCCCGCGGCGGGCCCGCCGGACGTCGCGGCCAAGACCGCGGGGCACGCGCCCGTGTCGAAGATGGAGGCGTCCGCCGCGGGCTTCAGGAGGATCTTGGGCTGCTCGCGGACGACCTTGCGCAGGTCGTACTTGCGCATCGCGAACGTCTTGGACAGGAACTGGACCGTCGCGCGGACGTCGCCGAGGAGCGCGGACGTGTTGCCCCCGCGCGCCGCGAGCTCGGGGCAGCGCTCCACCATGCCGGAGACATCGTCCTGCGTGAAGCCCGCGTCTTCGAGCAAATATTCGAGCACGGGCGTCTCGCTCAGCGCGGCGTCGTCGTCGACCTTGGCGAGCTCCGCCTCCGTCGCGCCCGCGCTCCGCAGGAAGAGCTTCACGGCCGACGACGAGTTGAGGCCGCCGGGCCGGCCGGGGGCCCCGCCGCGGGGGGACGCCCGCAAGGGCGCCGCGGCGCGCCGCCGCGCCGGGAGCAGCGGCACCGCGGCCCAGAGCGTCGCCAGGAGGGCGACGGCCCGCAGGCCTCGGCCGGGCGCCATGTTTCGCGGGGCCGCCCGGTTTGGGCGGTGCGTGTGTGCTGCGGGAGGCCTTCGGCGTGCACCCTGTGGCTGGGGGTCTGGTTAAGCCGCGGCGCCGCGATCCGTCGCGCTCACAGTCGTCGAGGTGCCCGCCAGCTATGCAGCAGGCTCGGCAAGGTCAAACCGATCTAAGTTCAAGGCTAAAGCTGAAGGCTGCCCTCTCATCCGCGATTCTGCTGCTAGCCATGCTCGCAAGGACGCTGCTCGCGATAGCCCTCCTCGCGAGCGCTAATGCGCGTAGCGTCTCCTGGTGGTTCTCCATTGCCGAGAACGCGACGACGGATGCTGCCAACATCGCCTACCTCAAGTCGCTCCCGAAAGAAGCGGTGACACGAGTCATGCCCGACATGGGCAGCATCAAGGGCGACCCGGAGGAGATCTTCGACGGCAAGCCCTGGCCGGCGACCTACGTCGGCATCTACTACGGCGACGCCTACGCCTGGTGGGCGGCGGAGGACAGGGTCAAGACGTGGTACCCCGCGCTTCGCGCGGCGCTGCCGGAGACGAAGATCTGCCCCTGGATTCTGGATACGTCCAACGCGACGTTGTTCCACGAAAAGGTGCTCAAGAACGCCACGGCCTTCATCGCCGACGCGGTCGCGATCGCGAAGCACTACGGCTTCGACGGCTGGCACATCGACTACGAGGACGAGCGGCCGGCGGACTCGTACCCGCACAAGCACGACGACCTGCGCGACTTCCTGAAGCAGTTCAGCGACGCGCTCCACGCCGAAGGCCTCGAGCTCGTCATCGACGTCGCGTCGTGGTCGTCGCTGCTCGGAAACTTCTCCAACGTCGCCGCGTCCGGCGTCGACCAGCTCCAGGACATGTCGTTCTACGCCCGCCCCGGCTCCTACAAGGAGGACCTCGCGAGCTACTACGCCCAGGTCCGGTCCGCGAACCCGACCTCCTGGGCGACGCAGGCGGGCGTCGGCGTCGGCGTCTACTACGACGGCCACAACGGCTACCCCCAGGAGTGGACCGAGGACGACGCGAAGGCGTTCTTCGCCGAGGTCGTCAATCAGGGCGGCGAGGCCGTCGACATCTTCCGGCTCTGCAAGAACACGGTCGACGACTGGCCCCGCGCGGACTGGTGGGCGACGCTCATCAGCGACTTCGCCACGGGCAAGCTCTAGGCCGCTCCCGGCGCTCCGACCCGCCCTCCGGACCTCTTTCTCGCGCGCTCCAATGCGCCTCTTCCCCGACGCTTCGCCTCGCCGCTGATCCGCGCGCCCAAGCTCGTTTAACGACCTCACGCGGTGCCGCTCTTGCGCGCGGGCGCCTCCGGCGACATCTCGACGACGACGGGCGACTCCGGCTCCGGCTCGGCGGCCTCGGCCGCCGCCGCCGCGAGGGCCGGCCCGGCGGACGACGTCCGCGTGACCTTGCGGAAGAGCTTCGAGAACACGCCCGGCCGCGCGTCGTCCGCGGGCGCCGCGGCCGGCGCGGCCCGGAGCTGCTCCGCGGCGGCCACGGCCCCGACGTCCGTCTCGCGGAGCGGCGACGCCACCTCGCCCTCCTCCCGGGCCTCGTTGTCGACGCGCGACGTCGCGCGGAGCCGCACGGCCGCGCGCACGGCGAGCGCCGACAGCTTCAGGGCCCGGCGCCGCGCGTCCTTGATGCGCGCCTTCTCCTCTTCCGGCAGCTGCTTCGGGTGGTAGTGGAACTCCAAGAGGTCCGGCAGCTCGGAGACGTGCGCGGGCCTATCGACGAACTGTTCATCGGGTTCCACGCTCAAAAAGTCGTCGTCGCTCCGGGACGCCGGCGCGGGCCCGAAGCGCGCGAGCGCCGCCTCCAGACGTTTCGCGACCGTGTCCTTGACGTGGGGGAACGACATGTAGGTGCCGTGCTCCTCGTCGAAGGTCGCGTCCAGTAATTCGAAGCTCAGCACGTAGAGCGCGTCGAACTCGAAGACCAGGGGCCAGTAGCGCTTCTTGACCTTCGACGCGTCCAGCTCGTTGCCCGCGGGGCCGACGGCGCCGAAGAGCTGCAGCAGCAGCCGCGTGATGTTGACGCCCGCCGTCGCCCAGGGCATGTACGTGGCCGTCATGATGTCCGAATCGTCGTCGTGCTCGCCGCTCTCGGCCATGGCGATGGCCGTGTCCGGCGCGGCTCTGATGAACGCGAGCATGTTCTCGACGGCCAGCACGCCGCCGCCCCGCACGTCGGACGCCGGGTCCGCGTTCTGGAAGCCGATCTTGAGCCAGTCGAGGCTCGTGCGCTCGAAGGCCTTCTTGCAGCCCCGCACGTTGTCGTGGAACGTGAGCCACAGAGCGTCGAGGAGCTCGAGGTGCTCGAGGTCGTTGTCGGGGTCGAAGGTCGTCTTCGACCGCTCGACGAGCGCGCGAAGCGCCGCGAGCTCCTCGGGCGTCGGGTAGCGGGCGGAGCACTGGCAGCAGCCCATCTTCGCGAAGTGGAACAGTCGGGGAATCTAGCAGCCCACCATGCTCGAGGCCACTCGATGAGAGCTTTCCGGCGGAATTGAACTTGGTGGAGGTGACATTGCATAGATGTTGACGCGCATCCGAGACGCCGAATCGCTCAGCTCGGTCACTCCCCGTCCGCGCCTTGCCAACCGCCGGACCGCGTCCCGCGCCTGCAACCCCGCGCGGCGCCGCCGACGCCGCGCTGCACGCCACGCCAAAAATGGACGAAACCATCGAAGTCACATTCGCGGCGAGCCCGTCCAAGGAGCTCGCCGTGGCCCCAGCCGCCGCCGCCGAAAGTTCGAGCCTGTCGCTCAAGTTCACGGCGAGCCCGACGAAGGAGTACGTCGTGAGCGCCGCGACGGAGCCGTCCGCGGCGGCGCCGCACCCGGCCGGGCCGCCGCCGCCGCCGGTGCCGCTCGCGGCCGCCTCGCCGGCCGCGCCGGCCGTCGAGGAGACGGGCCGCGGCAAGCGGCAGAAGAAGTGCCGCACGGCCGTCGTCGACGGCGAGACCGTCCTGCTGGAGAACATGTACGACGTGACGGCGAGCCACTACGTCTTCAGCAAGCCCGATCCCCCGAAGCCCAAGAAGGCCAAGCCCGCGCCGAGCGCGGCCCCCAAGCCCGCGGCGCCGCGGAAGGCGCCCGCCTTCGAGACGCGGCGCATGGCCCAGAACGCCGCGATGCGCGTCGAGATGGAGGGCCACGCCGCGCGGCGCGCGGCGTTCTACGCGTCGCAGCGCGACCACGTCGCGCCCTTCACGAACGCCGCGACGCTGCAGAGCCTCGCGGCGCGGGCCCGGGGCGTCGACCTCGGGCCGCGCCGGCCCAGCGTCGTCGTCCAGCCCGAGGAGATCACGGCGGAGCTGCGCGACTACCAGCTGGCGTCGCTGGACTGGTTCGCGGACTGCTACGAGCGCTGCGGCGCGCTGCCCTGCATCCTCGGCGACGAGATGGGTTTAGGCAAGACGCTGCAGACCATCGCCTACCTCGCGTGGCTCAAGTTCGAGAAGAAGCTCGACGGCGCGGCGCTCGTGCTCTGCCCGCTGTCGGTGCTGTCGACGTGGATGGCCGAGTGCGCGCGGTGGTGCCCGGGCCTCCGCGTCATGAAGCTCCACTCGTCAGACCCGGGCGAGCGCGAGCGCCTCCGGAGGAAGATTTTGGAGGGCGTCGGCACCTACGACGTCGTCGTGACGACGTACGAGATGGCCAAGGCGCCGAGCCTGCGGTCCGCGCTCGTGCAGAAGGTCACCTGGCGCTGCCTCGTGCTCGACGAGGGCCACGTGATCAAGAACCACGAGACGGAGATCGCGCGGACCGTGCGGAAGATGCACTTCGTCACCGCGCTGCTCCTCACGGGCACGCCGCTCCAGAACAATTTGGTCGAGCTCTGGGCGCTGCTCAACTTCCTCCACCCGGCCGCGTTCCCGGACGTCGAGCCCTTCGCGAAGGCTTATGATTTGGGCCGGGGCGTCGTCGACCGCGACATGCTCGTCAAGGCGCAGGTCGTCCTGGGGCAGCTCATGCTCCGGCGGTTGAAGGTCGACGTCGAGACGGGCCTGCCGCCGAAGCTCGAGACCGTCGTCCAGTGCCCGCTGGCGCCGCAGCAGGTCTTCTGGTACCGGAGCTTGCTGCTCAAGGAGAACGCGGCGCTGCGCAAGGTCGAGGGCGGCGGCGACGCGGCCGGCGCGCCCAAGGGCACGTACAAGTCGCTGCTGAACCTGTTGATGCAGCTCCGGAAGACGTGCTGCCACCCCTTCCTCTTCCCCGACGCCGAGGGCGACCCGGACGAGACGACGCTCGAAGAGCTCGTCGCCGCGTCGGGCAAGCTCCGCGTGCTCGACCGCCTCCTCCTGAAGCTCCACCGGAACGGCCACCGCGTCGTCGTCTTCTCCCAGTTCTCGTCCATGGTCGACATTCTGGACGACTACTGCCGCCTCCGGGGCTGGTCCTTCTGCCGCCTCACGGGCGCGACGAACCGCGTGCGCCGCGTCGTCAACGTGCGCGCGTTCAACGAGCCGTCGAGCCCGCTCTTCATCTTCCTCATGACGACGCGCGCGGGCGGCCTGGGCATCAACCTGCAGTCCGCGGACACGTGCGTGCTCTACGACTCGGACTGGAACCCGCAGGCGGACCTCCAGGCCATGGCGCGCGTGCACCGCCTGGGCCAGACGAAGACGGTCCACATCTACCGGCTCTGCGCCGCGGGCACGGCCGAGGAGCGCGTGCTCCAGCGGTCGCAGAAGAAGCTCTACCTGTCCCACGTCGTCAACCGCAACGGCGGCGGCGAGGAGGGCGACGACGACATGGACAAGCTGAGCGGCGGCGAGGTGCTGTCCATGGTCAAGTTCGGCGCGTCCGCGATCTTCAAGGCCGGCGACAACGCGGAGCCGTCGGACGCGGACCTCGACGCGATCGTCGACCGGTCGCGCGGCGCCGACGACGTCGTCGGGAATTTGGTGGGCGGCGCCGAGGACAACGCCGAGGCTTTTGATGCTACCGAGGAGGCCGTGGACACGCGCACGCTCTTCGGGTCTCGGATCGACGCGGCGCCCAAGACGTCGAAAGACATCGCGGCGACGTGGAAGGGCCTCGTCGCCGAGGGCAAGCGCGACCGGAAGCAGCGCGTGAAGATGGTCGAGGCCGCGGGCAGCGGCTACGGCTCGAAGCTCGTGCCCGTGCTCGCGTCCAACGACTACGGCCTGTACGACGGGGAAAGCTCGGTCTTCGACCGCGAGCTCGGCGGCGCGGACGCGTCCGCCTTCGCCGTGCAGAAGCGGCGCGTGCTCGTGCCCGGGCGTGACTACGCCCACGAGACGACGTGCCTCAACTGCTTTCGGGATGCCCAGGGCAAGCCTTCGGGCAAGAAGCGCCGCGCCGCGGCGCCCGCCTCCTCCAAAGCCGGCGAGGGCCCGCTCCGGAGGTGCCGGCTCTGCCCCATGGTCGTCCACGCGTCCTGCGCCGTCTACAACAACCTGGGCGAGGACACGGCCATGGGCACGTGGCAGTGCCCGCACCACGCCTGCGTCGGCTGCGGCCGGTCGACGTCCGCGGCGGGCGGGCTCCTGTTTCGGTGCGAGGCGTGCCCCGTCACGTACTGCGAGGACTGCCTGCCGCGGGCCTGCAAGGTCGTCGGCGAGTGCCGGCGTTTGGTGGCGCGGGGCTGCCCCGTGCAGCCCCAGGCCTGCTACATCCGCTGCTCCGACGCCTGCGCGGCCGCGCTCGCGGGCCGCGACGGCGCGGACGACGCGGCGATCAATTCGACGTTCGACGATCTGGACCTGACGGACGTCGACGCGGCGAACAAGAAGCTCTTCGAGTCCATGGCCCACGAGCGCGACGCCATGAACGCCCAGGACATCTCGGCGCTGGCGGCGCAGCGGCGCGAGAAGTTCCAGGAGGATTTGGTGGGCATGCTCTTGGACAAGGGCTCGGACGTCGACGGCGGCGGCGTCCGCGTGCTGCTGAAGTTCCACGGCTCCGAGTACTACGGCGCCGGGCGCCAGACCATGACCCACGGCTTCAAGGGCGCGGCGAAGGCGTTGCTGGACCTGGGCGTGGCGCGGGGCGACACCGCGCGCGAGGTCGCCGCGGAGCTCGAGGCCGCCGTCGGCCGCGGCGACCTGACGTACGTCAACGGCTCGCACCCCGTGTCGCCGACGACGGTCGTCGAGGCGCGCTACGAGGCGTCGCCGGAGCTCTACGCGGCCTGCGCCGAGAAGCGCGCCGCCGAGGACGACCTGCGCCGGTCCGCGGCGGACGCCGTCGCGGCGTCGATCGCCGGCGACGTCACGAAGCTCCTGCTGGGCGACGAGGGCGGCGACCAGCCGTTGAAGGCGGCGAAGAGCCGCTTCGAGGCGTCGAAGATGTGCCCCCTGGGCCACGACTGCCGCCGGAAGCGCGGCGCGCACCTCTGCTCGCTCTTCCCGACGGCGGAAGCGCGCGACCTGTGCGTCGAGGTCGCGCAGGCGCTCGTGGACCGGGGCGTGCTCGAGCCCCACGCGGACAGCGTCGGCGGCGCGGAGATGCCCTGGGCGGACCGCGGCGACCTGGCCAGCAACTGGGCCCAGCTCCGCCACCTGGGCCTCGCGCGGACGCCCGCGGTCGCCGAGATCCTCGCGGCGCGCGAAAAGAAGCGCGACGCGGCCGTCGGCGAGTGGAAGGCCGCGGCCCTGCGCCGCGTCGACACCCTGGGCTGGGCTTTAGTCGCGGAGCTCTTCCCGCGCGAGCGCGGCGACGCGGCGGCGCGCGAGCTCCAGCTCGCGGCGCTCGCGGCGCTCGTCGACGAGGGCGCGTTCGCGCGAGCGCACGACCCGGCGATCATGGCCAAGGGCGACGCGGCCTACGCGCGCGCGTCCTACGGCGTCCCGCTCCAGGCCTGGCGCAAGTCCAAGCCACCGCGCCGCGTCGGCAACCCCTGGGTCAACAACCTGCACCGGCCCACGTACGACGGCGTCGACTGGGACCGCGTCGCGCAAAAGTGGCGCGTCTCGGACCACTTCGGCCGCGCGGGCGACCTCTACGACGACCTCGTCGAGGCGGCGCGCGCGCGCGACGCCGTCGTCTTCGCCCGGGGCAAGTTCTACTACGGCATGCAGCCCCTGCCGAACTTCCCCGAGCCCGTCGTCCACCGCGCGGTCGTCCCGAGCGTCCCGAACGCCGCGGGCCCCTTCGTCGACCTCGCGGGCTCGCCCGCGCCCGCGCCGCCGTCGCCGACGTCCAACGAGAACCCCGTCGACCTCACGTCGCCCTAGAGGCGCGCTGTCCCCCCGCTGTTGTAACCAATCCCGCCCTGTTCGTGCTTCACCTTGAAGGCGTGTCCGGACGATTGAAGGATCGCTCTCGCTTGAGTATGGGCAGCCTCCGCCCGGCAGTCTTCGCCTTGGCAGCCTTCGCCGTGGCGTCGGCCGCGCCGCTCTCGGACGAGGCGCGAAGTCTCTTCCACGAGCGCGGCTACCACGTCGCTCCCGGATTGCTGCAGGACGAGGCGCCGGCGCTCATCCAAGAGATGCAGCGCCTCATGGACGAGGCGTCCGCCGAGGATGAGGCGGACTGGTCCGACGGCGGCGACGCGCCGTCGTCCTACGCCGTGTCCTACCAGCCCGACGCGGCGACGGGTGCGCCCATCGCCGGGCGCATCTTCAAGCTCCAGGCCGTCGCGACGCGGTCGCGCGTCATGAAGGAGCGGACGATCCTCAACGAGAAGCTCGTCGCCGTCGCGGAGCAGCTCCTGGGCGTCGCGGCCGACGAGGCCATGGACGCCTTCGGCACGAAATTCTTCCCCCTGCTGCCCGCGGAGAACGAGACGACGTCGACGTCGTTCCACGACGACACGCACTTCTTCGGCACGGCCTCGGACCGCGTGCTCTCCATGTCGCTCTACCTCGAGGACACGGACGTCGAGAACGGCTGCCTGCGCGTCGTGCCGGGCTCCCACGCAAACTACGGCGACGGCGTCCGGCGCGAAAGCCGCTACGCGCGCGGCACGGGCGCGGCGGCGCACGGCGAGTGGCTCGAGCTCGAGGCCGACGAGCGCGCGGTGGATGTGGCGGTGCCGGCGGGGACGCCCGTCTTCTTCGACGGGCGCCTCATCCACGGCGCGCGCCACAACGTCTCGCCGGAGCGGAGCTCGTTCCGCATCATCGCCCACTTCGTCCCCGCGGACCTGCCCATGGCCTGGCGGGGCGTCGACTTCGGGCGCGGCTACGCGGACCGCTACGAGGTCAAGGCGCCGGCCCCGCTCGTCGGGGCGCTGACGAGCGAGCTGTAATTGGGAACGCGGATGTGGTGCGAGACTTGTACGGTGAGGCTCCTTTGGCGAGTCAACCACTGAGTCGCCACAGGCGCGCAGGAGCAAAAACTTGAAACGTGGGTGAGCGGAGGAGTTACGCGCCGCCGCTCGCCGCGGGCGCGACGCGCTGGTGCGAGGCGACGTCCGCTTCGTCGACCTCCCGGGCACGATTCACAGCTCGACGATGGCCCTCAATGTGCCAAACGAAACGCTTGCGCATGCGGCGGCCTGGTCGTCGCTCTCAGACTTACTCGCACTCCGCGCCGTGTCGCCTGCGGGCCGGGACGCCGTGAAGCTCGCTGTTCCGTGCCACAGCAAATGCCACTCAATTTTCACGCCCGGGACGAAGTGTTCGGACAGTCTAAAGGGCGACAGCAGTTCGCGTCCAACGAAGATCGAAGCTTTGGGCCGCGTCTTTGGAAGCGGCTGTGGATACCTAGTTACTGAGGTAAGTGATGGGATGGGCATGGAGGCCGCTCTTCGTTCGTTCGTCGCGAGTACGAAACGTCGCCTGATAATAATCCATATCGCCGATGTGTCGATGTCGGCGTACTCGGTGAGGCAAATCTGCAAGTCGAGCCCGCTGCTGGAGTGTCTATCGATCCGTCGAGGGCCTAAGGAGCTGGCGGATGATTGCGCTGAGGAAATTAGTGCCACGTGCCCACTACTCAAAATGGTCACGTTGCCACCGTCAGCGCAGAGCCCAGCGGAGAGCTGGGCCATGCATTTCCCAAAGCTACCCCACTTGAATTTTTTTCGGGATCGGGATGAACGGTTTTACGAGCCTACCAATTACACTCAGATCGAGGAATCTGCGAAGCGGTGCCTCGAAGTCTCCACGTACAGGTTCCCTGATTGCGTTGTCAAGCCGGCCCTGGCCGCGTGCCTGCTACGGACGCCCCTGCCCTCGAGAGTGTCAGAGCTCGAATTTTCCATGGAATGTCAAATTGCACCGTCGACAGTTCTGACATTGGCGCGCGGGCTTCAGGAACTGGTGGACCTGCATTTGCCGTGGTTTTTCGAGCACACGCCTGCGTTTTACGACGCGCTGTTCGAAGCGCGTCCTGAGATCACAAAGCTCAACATTGAAGTGGAATTCATGGACGATGCTTCCTTCGCTCGGGCCTGCCAATTCCGCCTGATACGCCTCCAATTCGAACAATGGTCACAAAGTTCGGGACTCTCTGAAGCCTACGTCGATATGATTCTCGCGAGCCCGTGCCGCCAGACGCTCGAGTGGCTTCATTTCGAATACTTATCGTGGACGCAAACCAGCTCCATCGCCTTGTGTGCGGATGTCCTTCCTTGCATGACATCATCTGGAAGAGATGCAGTGCCCCACTCAATGGGAAGGATGCGGACATCATCGCGGCGATTGAAGCTGTACTCAGCCGCCGACCTTGGGGTCGGTTTCGTCTTGAGGAAGACCCGGACAGGTTTGCTGACGAGGCTTAAGTGCGTAAGTTCGAAGCCCCCCCCCCTCTAGAGCTCGGCCTCGTCGGCGAGCTTCGTGAGCTGGCCGTCCTTGGAGAGGAGGAAGTGGCCGGGCTCCGCGACCTCGACGACGAGCACGCCCGCGTCGACGGCCTTGTAGCCGCGGATGCGCTCGAAGGGCTTCGCGGCCGGGATGTCGGCGTCGGGGATCTCGACGTGGTCGAGGCCGCCGTTGGACACGACGAGGTCCCGGATCACGACGGACGCGTCCGCGCGCTTGTTGACGACCTTCAAACCGCCGGACACCTTGGCCGACTCCACGGCGATGTTCGCGCCGTCGAGCACGAGCACGGCGTCGGCGTCGAGGTCCAAGGAACCCGGTGTCACCTTGGCGTCGACGTCGGCCTGCGTCAGCGCGAAGGACGGCAGGAGCACGACCTTGGGCCCGCCGAACAGGCCGGCGACGCCGCTGAGCGTCCGCGTCGCGGCGACCTCGCCGGCCGTCGCCAGGCCGAGGCGCGTCGCGTGGGCCGCGTAGACCTCGAACTCCGCGGACCCGGCCGCCCCCGCGGGCTCGCCCTTGGCCGACGACGCGCGCGCGGCGTCGAGCGCGTTCTTCGCCGGCGAGAACGCGACCCAGCGCTCGAAGGTCGTGAAGCCGACCTTGGCGCCGGGCACCTCGCGCCGGAGGAGCTTCGGGTAGTCCTGCATCATGCACTCGAGGCGCGTGGGCTTCTTGAAGTCGCACTTGGCGTCGTCCTTGTACTTTGGATTCACGAACTCGTCGACGACGCCGAGGTCCTCGCCGTGGAGCGTCGCCACGTAGTCCGCGAGGCCGAGCACGAGCACGTTGGCGTTGCCCGGGTAGGGCGAGAAGCCCGTCGCCGGGTCGTTGACGTCGCCGTCGCCCGTCGCCGCCCGGAGCATGGGGTCGAGCTGGTTGTACTCGACGTTGATGACGAGGTCGTCGTCGCCCGCCTTGGCGAGGCGCGTGATCGCGCCGGCGGCCTCGCCGGCGCGCCGCGGCACGCAGACGCTGTTCATGGAGAAGCCGCGCTTCGCGGAGACGCCCAGCGCCGGGAGGATCGTGTGGAGCACCAGGGGGTTCGTGTCCTGGAAGAAGAAGACGTAGTCGAGGCCGTAGGACTCGCGCCACTTCTTCGCGATGCCCGTGGACCGCATGAGGCTGTGCACGTCGCCGTGGCCGTGGGGCTTCGTGAGCAGGGCCCAGCGGTCGTCGTCGTCGACGGCGAGCTTCGCGTTGCCGTCGCTCAGCGCCGCGACCTTGTCCTGCTTCATGATCTCGATCTGGCCCGGCTCCGCGCCGAAGTCGCCCTCGGCCTCGAGCAGCGCCCGCGTCGGCGCGTCCGTGTCGTCGGACGTCATGATGCAGAGCGGCACGACGAGGCTGGCATCGCCGCTGTCCGCGCGCGCGCGCGCCTGCACCGCGAGCACGTAGTCGACGTAGAGCTCGAGGAACGACTTGCCGGTCGCGAGCTCCACGGGCAGCTCGAGCTTGATGCCGTCGTAGCCGAGGCGCTCGCCGAGGCCGCCGGCGACGAGCACGAAGCCCGTCTTCCGCGCGGCCTCGAGGCCGTCCCGCTCCGCGGCGCCGAAGCCCGCGCCGCCGAAGACGAGCGTCTCGCCGTCGGGCACGGACGGCGCGAAGCCCTCGAAGGGGTTGTCGCCGCGCGCCGACGCGGCCAGGAGCTCGCGCGACCGGCCGACGTACTTGGCGAGGCCGCCGGCGTAGGCCGCGTCCGTCCGCGAGAGCGCGTCGACGAGGCGCCGCTTGTCGGCGTCGCCGTCGCCCGCCGCGGGCCAGTCCTCGAGGAGGTGGGTCTGGCCGAGCGCCGCGAGGCCGTCGAGCAGCGCGAGCTCCGACGCGCTCAGCAGGGCCGCGTTGCCGGGGCCGATGAGGTCCGTCGCCGACGCCGTCGTCGCGCCGCCCGACAGGGTCGTCGCGCACGTCGACGTTCCGCGGGTCGTCTTCGGCATGGCGCTCGACGTTTTCGGCATAGAGCGACCTCCCACGGGAAAGGAGGAGCCCGTGGCGAGCAGGAGCACGAGGTAGGGGCGCATGTTGCAAGCGATCTGGCAGCGCTCGTGGCGCTCCGAGAGCTGCGAGAACTGCAAGGCTGTCGCTCGTCACGTCGATCGGCCGAAGCCGTCGAGCGCGTCGCGAGACGCGTCCGCCCGCACGCGTCCGACGGAGGCGTGGAGAGTAAGAGGTCGGGCACACAAAGGGGGGAGAGGGGGACGGGAACGGCGCGGCACGCTACACGGGGCCCTTGCCCGTCGTGTCGCCCTGGCAGAACGCGCAGACGACCGCGACGTCCGGGCGGCACGCGGCGCAGACCGCGGCGGCGCAGCAGGGGAGCGTGCTGCACGTCGTGCCCTCGGCGAGGCAGAGCGCGCAGCGCATCACGGGGTTGGACTTGAACGTCGTCGGCGCCTTGGGCCCCACGGCGTCGGGCTTGTAGTGGAGGTCGCGGTCGTGGAGGCCGGGCCGCTTCTCGCCCGGCGCGCGTTTGCGGCGCTTGACCTGGGGCACGATGTTGCGCGCCGCGGACGGGTCCGCGGGCTTGAGGTAGACCTTGATGTCGTCGTGGCGGTAGCCGATGGGCCGCGTCGGGTCGCGGTGCGTCGGCGCCTCGGCGCCGTAGGCGCGCGGCGCGAGCGTGCCGCAGCGCGGCGCCTCGTACTCCGCCGCGGCGACGATGTCCGCGCACTCGGCCTCCATGGCCACGTCCGGCGTCCGCTTGTTCCAGCGCTCCTTGCGGCCCTGCGAGTTCCAGCGGTTCTTGACCATGTTCGGCGACCGGCCCGCGACGACGAGGCAGATCTGGCCCCACGCGCTGCCCCACTTCTGGTAGCTGTGGTAGAGCAGCGCGTCCTCGCGCTCGGTCCAGGGGTCGCTCACGGCCTTGAGGCCCGGCGCGAGCTTGTTGTAGAAGCGGTCGCGGATCTGCTTCGAGTTGCGCCCGGGCACGCGCGCGGCGATCTCGGGCCACTCGAGGCCCTCGGCCGCGTACTTCCGGACGGCCTCGTCCTCGGCGGCCGTGAAGCGGCCCTTGCGCTCGCCCTTGCCGATGACCTTCTCCCAGCGCAGGCGGCACTCGGCCGCGTCGCGCGAGCCGAGCGCGCGCGCGACCGCGTCCCAGTCCGTGTGCGCCTTCGAGATCGGGCCGTCCAAAGCCGCGAGCACGGAGCGGAGCCGCTTGTCCTCGAGCTGGAGCCAGCGGCCCTTGACGCCGCCGGGCGACGCGCTCTCGCGCGCGCACTCGCGGTCCATGGGCATCTCCATGGGCGTCGGCGGCCCGGCGGCCCGGGCCCCGGCGCGGCGCGCGCGCGACGGCGCCGCGCGCCGCGCGGGGCGCGCGTCGTCGAAGTCGTCGTCGTCGTCGGACTCGGTGTCGTCGCCGCCGACGCGCACGCGCCCGGCGGGCAGGTCGCCGCGCGCGCGCGGCGGGCCGCGCTTCCGCGGCGCGGGCTTCTCGCAGGGCTCGTAGATGGACTTGTGGTAGTCGTCGTTGAGCGTCGCGTAGAGCTGGCCCTCGGACTCGAGGAAGTCGACGATCTGGCGCAGGCGCACGGCGTCCATGCCCAGGGCGCCGGCGACGTAGCCGACCTGGCAGCCCTCCTCGCCCGTGCCCTCGGCGCTGTAGAAGTCGAGCACGCGCTGCCGGTCCGCCTCGAAGGTCGACGCGCCGGAGCTCGCCGCGATCATGCCGAACTCGTCGTCCTCGGACTCCGTGTCGGACATCGCGGGGCCGGGCGGCGACAGCAGCTCGTCGTCGGACGACTCCTCCTCCTCCTCCTCCGGCGGCGGCGGCGCCTCCGCGATCGCCGCGAGGAGCGCGTGCGCGGGCGGCGCGGGCTGAACGCGCCGCGTGTAGCCCCGCTTGGGCGCCTCGGCGCAGAAGCCGAGGGCGGCTTCGGCCGCCGCCGCGTACTCGCGCAGCTGCACGGGCACGCCCGCGCGCGGGAAGAGGTTGCAGGCCTGGCCGGGATGCGTCAGGTGACCGCACTTGTCGCAGTACTTCGCCGGCTCGGCCGCGGCCGCGGGCGCCGGCGCCGGCTCCGGCGCCGGCTCGGCGCCGTCCGCGCCGTCTCGAGCGTCCGGCGGCCGCGGCCGGCCGATCACGAGGGCGAGCGTGGCGCCGGCGGATTTCGCGTCGCCGATCCTGCCGACGACCTCGCCGAAGGACTCGCGCGTCGCGTCGAAGCCCTGCACGGAGAGGATGACGTCGCCCACGCGGATCGCGCCGAGGGCCATGACCTCGTGGTCCGAGAAGTCGACGACGACGACGCGCGCGGCGCCGTCTTTGTTGATGCGGATGCCGTAGGAGTTCGTCGCCGCATTGAGCGCGAGCGACACGTCGAGCACGGCGTGGCCGGTGGGCACGATGGGCGACGGCGGCCGCGGCGCCTCGGCGGGCGGCGACGGGGGCGCGGCGATTTCCGCGGGCGCGGGCGCGAGGAAAGGAGTGGGGAGAATTCCGCCGGGCGACGCCATCGTGTTCAACGGTTTGAAGGCCTCGGGATGCGTCGCCGCGTCGCGGGGGCGGGGGCGAGAGCTCTTTGGATATTTACGCTTCGCCGGGCGGCGAGAGCTTCGCCGGCGGCGAGAGAGCGGACCGGGGCGGAGCGGGCGGCGACTCGACTCCTTGAACGAATGGGTTGGAGCGCGGGCGCCAAGACTCGCGAGAACCCGTGAGGGGCGTTTGACGTCGTCGGCGCGCGGCGCGAGGCGTCGCTCTCTGAGCTCTCTGCTGCGGCGCTCTCCGGATACCTAGATGCGCGACGACTCCTTCACAAAGCGTTCACAAGGGATACGGCGTTCCGGACGCCTCCTCGGACCCCTCCTTTGCATACTTCTTTGCATGCAGGCCTGCATGCATCGAGTCCGCGATGTGCGAACCTAGCGCCCCGGGGGTCCTTGCGAGCTCGCTTCAGACTTTCGACTTAACGTCGTCAGTTCTCGTCGGCCGGCGCCGCGCGCGGCCGCGGCACGAAGGGCGGCGGCGTCGTCGCCGCGGCCGGCTCGCGCGGCGCGGGCGGCGGCATGGCCTCGGCGTCGTTCTCCCGCGCGACGAGGAGGAGGAGCGGGGCGCGGGCGCCGGCGGCGGCCTTGCAGCGGTCGTGGACGTCGTCGAAGTCCTGGCGCGTCGCGTCCCAGCCGCGGACGCTCAGGACGACGTCGCCGACCCGGAGGCCCGCGTCCGCGGCCGCGCCCCCGGGCCGGAGCTTGGAGACGATGATGTCGTCGCCGCGCTCGCCGATCGTGGCGCCGTAGCCGCCGCCGGCCGCGGGGTAGGGCACGTCGACCTCGACGACCGCGTGACCGTCCGGGACGACGGGGTCGCGCCGCTCCGGCGGCCGCGACGCGTCGCCGCGGATGGCGACGAAGCCCGCGGCGCTGCGGACCAGCGGCACCGGCGCGATGGGGTCGTCGTCGTCCGCGGCCGGCGGCGCGGCCTCGGCGGCCGGCGGCGCGGCGGCGGCCGCGGCGTCCTCCGCGCCCCCGGGCGCGCGGCTCTCGGCCGCCTCCGCGGCCGGCGGCGGCGCGGCTTCGGCGGCCGGCGCGTTCGCGGGCCGCTCGTTCAGGGCCCGGAGGGCCTGCATCCTGGAGACGTGCCGTTTGCCCGCCTCGTCGACGAAGACGACGGTCTCGCGGTCCGCGTGGCCGCGGCGGTACGTGGACCACCCGGCGAGCGCGCTCGCGTCGCCGCCGCGCTCGGACACGTAGGCAGCGAGGCCCGCGAGGTCCGCCGCCGCACGCTTCTTCGCCGCCGGGTTCGCGGCGCCCGCGGCCGCGCGCTTCTTCGGCGCCGCTTCTTCGGCCTTCGGCGCCGCGGGCTTCTTCTTCGGCGCCGCTTCCTCGGCTTTCGCTTTCGCCGCGGCGGGCTTCTTGTTCGGCGCCGCGTCTTCGGCCTTCGCCGCCGCGGGCTTCTTCGGCGCCGCGGCGGGCGCCGGCGCCGGCGCCGCGCTCTCTTGCTCCTTCTTTCGCCGCCCCCGCGATTCGAACGCGCGAATCAAGTCCTTGGGCACCTTCTCCTCTCGGTCGCCGTCGTTGTATATGACGTCGTAGGAATCGTCGTGGATGCGATCGATGAGGCCCACGTACCACTTGTCGCCGCCGCGCCACCGGGCCTCGACGGTATCATTGATCCAGAAGGTGCTCATGCTTCGCCCGGCGACGACGAGGTACGCGTCGCTCAGCGTGAGGCGGTGCCTCTCCACGCGCGACGCCTCGCTCTCCCTGGATATTCGAGATCGCTCGCCCAAAAAGTGGCAAATTCGCATTTTTTTTGTCCCCTTCCCGCAGCTAGCACATCTACGCGTCGCGCGACGGCGGTTGGCGCCGAGCCAGCGGCCGTCCGGGATTTGTTCTCGACGCGATCCGGAGCCGTGCGGCTGCGCGGCGTTCCCCGCGTCTCGAGTGTCCTTCTCCGGGCCGCGGCGCGGCGGCCGCGAAGCTTAAGCCAGCGGTCCAAACACCGCTAAGCAGCGCGGTAAAAATAGCAAGGAGGGAAGAACTAGGGAAGGAAGCAAAGCAAGAAGAAGGACAAGACGAGAGGGAACCGTCATGCAGGGGCACGATGCCGCCTCGATGCATGCAAGATGCTTCGCAAAGCCAACTTGGCAAAATCTCGTTCGGCTTGTGGCAACGTGCTCTCCTCCCACGCCGACAAGCGCCTCGCAAAGCGGTGTGAGCCGCGCCGCATCGACGCCACGGCAGGGACCATGTACGCGACGCCGACGGGCCTCTTCCCCGAGAGTCCGCCCGAGGAGGAGGACAAGAGCACGACGTCGCAGTCGACGCTGGGGTCGGCGTCGCTGGAGGACGAGCTGCGCAAGTACGAGGCCCTGGGCGCCGGCGCGTCGGAGGCCGAGGCCGTGGCGACGGCGCGGGTCGCGGGCCTCGAGCGCGCCCTGAGCGAGCGCGAGGCGACGATCGCGTCGCTCGAGGCGCGGCTCGTGCGGCGGTGGCGGCTCCGCCGCGACCGCGAGGAGGCGCGGTCCGTGCTCGAGGCCAAGGTCGCGGCGGCGGAGCGCGAGCGCGACGAGGCCCGGCGGCGCGCGGCGGCCGCGGCGCGCGCGCGCGGCGCCGCGCGCGCGGCGGCCGCGGAGTCGACGGAGGCGCTCGGCGCGTCGCGCGTCGAGGAGGCGCGGCTCGAGGAGCGGTCCAACGCCGCGGCCGTCGCCGCTGCCGCCGCCGCGGACCACGCGGCGGCCCTGGGCCTGCCCCCGCCGGCGCCCGCCGCCGCCGGTGAGGGCGCCGCGTTCCGGAAGCGCGACGGCGCGCTGGCCGAGGCGCGATGCCTCGCGGAGGAGAACGACCGGCTCCGCTTCGCCTGCGGCGCCGCGCGCCAGCGCCTCGCCGCGGCGACGGCCGCGGCGGCGCGCGCCGAGGCCGCCGCGCGGCGCGTCGTCCGGCGCAGCGACGCGCGCGTCCGGGCCGCGCGCACGGCCGTGACGGACATCCGCGACGCGCTCGCCGGCGCCGCCGCGGACGTCGACGTCGACGCGCTCCTCGCGTCGGCGTCCCGCGCGCCGCCGCTCAAGCCCCGGCGCGCCGCGGCGCCCGCGAAGCCGCGCGCGCGCCGCCGCGCCGCGGCCGACGACGCGGCCGCGACGGACGACGCGACGGCCGGGTCGACGCTCGCGCGCCTCTCCGAGGAGGACGACGACGCCATCACATCCGCGGACGACGCGCTCCCCAAGGGCGCCCAGGGCGACGCCACGGACGACGCGACGGCGGGCTCGACGCACGGCAACGACGAGGCGACGATCCTCTCCGCGGGCGCGGACGACGAGGCCTCCGCCGAAGACGGCGCGATCACGTCCGCCGACGACGCTGACAAGCGCGCGACGCCGCCGCCGCCGGAGAAGGCGGCCCGCGCGCCCGGCGACGAGACCGACGACGCGACGGCGGGCTCGACGCTCCTCAACGACGACGCGACGCTCGGCGACGCGACGCTCGGGGCCTACTCCGCCGGCGCCGACGACGAGGCGACGGCCGGCGACGAGGCGACGGCCGGCTCCGCGGACACGTCCACCGACGACGCGGCGAAGAAGCCCCTCGGCTTCGCGCCGGACCGCGCCTTCACCTGCGACTGAGGACCGCCTCCCCCGCTGTTGTTGTAACCGGGGTGTGTGTCGCGGTTCAAGTTCGGTACCTCACACGGCATGCTAGCGTTCCGTTAGCGTCGCCCCGCCGTCGTCCGCGGCGAGGCCCGGGCG